GGTATGGGGGTATTTGAAATAGGGGGGACTTCCTAGGGGTATGGGGGTATCTGAAATAGGGGGGACTTCCTAGGGGTTTGGTGGTATCTGAAATAGGGGGGACTTCCTAAGGGTATGGGGGTATCTAAAAGAAGGGGGGCTTCCTAGGGTATGGGGGTATCTGAAATGGAGGGGCTTCCTAGGAATAGAGGGTATCTGAAGTAGGAGAGGCATCCTAGGGATGGGTAGGGGGTATCTGAAGTAGGAGAGGCATCCTAGGGATGGGTAGGGGGTATCTGAAATATGGGGACATGAGGCATCCTAGGGGTAGGAAGTATCTGAAATAGGGTGATAGGGGAGCATCCTAGGGGTATCTGAAATATGATAATAGGTGGTATGGGGTATCTGAAATAGGGTGCCCAACCTAGGGGTATAAAATATGTGAAATAGGGAGAAGGACAGAGTGTATCCTAGGGTTAGGGGATGTCTGAAATAGGTATTGGGCAAGGTGGCAGCCTATGGGTATGTAGTAAGAGGGTATCTGACATAGGGGTCAGGGGGTAGCTGAAATAGGGGAACTTGGGCATAATAGGCTTTCTGATATCTGGAGAGCAGTGGTGACAGATGGGGTAATCTGTTGTCTGAGATGGGAAAGGGCAATGGGGGCATCATATGGGGTAATAAGCTGTCGGGCAGATAGGGTAATGATGGTGTAAGATGGGGAAGGTAGTGTAGGCATCCTTGAGGTCATAGGCTAATATGTGGGGGGGCATCTTTTGCTTTATCCAGGTCATATCATTCTACGCCAATGTGGTGGATTGCCACGGTTGTTTACAGTCCTTTTGGGAGAGCAGTGTTAGATATTGAAGTATTTGGTTAGATGCTGAAGGTTGTGGAGGCATTGGGAATGGCAGTATATTGGTGATTAATAAGAATCCACTCTTAGTATGGGATCTGGCAGTGAGCTAATTGATATGAGGCCTTGTTTTTGGATAAGTAGATATGTGCATTTGGTGCACAGTTTCTGAATATGTTTATATAGCTGTTGGGGAGGACTATCTGCAGACGGGGATTTTTAAGGAAGGGATGAAATGTATGCAGTTGGGATTTTATGTTACTGTGGTCTGGATGAATGTTTCGGGGGTTAGTTTCTGTTAGAATATACAATGGGAGATGTATTTTCTCGTGGGAAAACATGCTGCAAATTGGGAATATGGATTTTTTGGATGGAGGATTTGGGCTCCTGAGGGAAAATAAGTTGGGTGGGTTACTGCAGAGTGGCTGCTCGCCAGAGCTGGACTCGGATAATAAGTTAGTTTGTAGTGTTTGTTGAGGAGGAGGGTACAGTTTTGTTGACACCCTGGGGTGTGAATTTGGGAAAACAGTGACTTGAGGGTGGGGGGTGTCAAACCTAATGAGAGATAATGGCAGTGAGGTTCTATAATATGGGACACCTGTGGCTTTGGACATCGCAAGATTTAGGCACTTTGTTTGGGTGGGTGCAGTTGGGAAATTCTTTTTATGTTTACAAAGTTGTTGCACTGGATCATTTGCAGACATGTTTGTGATGTGAAGACTGAGGAAAGGTCGGAATGTCTGCAGTTGGGTGTTATTACTGAGATACGGCTGCTAGAGGTTTGGGAAGAAGGGAGTGTACACTCGCATGGTTTTTAGTGTTAGTGGTGGGAAAGGCGGTGAGTCTGATGACTAAGTGGGATTGTTCCAGCCCATGTCTGGATTATCACTTTTGTGGGTTTTGTTTTCTTTTTTTGTGTGTGTGTGTTTTTGATATGTACCTGTAAGTGTTGTTCTCTGAATAATCATGCATTTTAGCACATTTTCTTGTAAACATGTTTAATACATATCTCAACAACCGTTGTGATAAGCAGTGGGTTCACTGTGTTTTTGTCAATGGCATTTGGCTGCTGATCTATACATGCCTTACCAGTGACCTTCTGCTTTTGGTCGATACATGCAGTTACACCATCAAGTTTGGGTTCACGTGAGGACATTTGACTCAACGTCAGAGTTATACAGTAGAACAATTAGCTAGCTTTTGTGGGTAATATTTGTCTTTAATTTTTTAACGTTTTTATTCTACACATGTCCAATTACTCAAAACCATCCCGAATTCCTGTTCTTTTCAGCAATTACTTTTGTGTGTGTGTGTATACATGCATACATACATACACACACACCATGAACACAATGCGTAACTTATGTGCCACTGGAGATACAAGTTGCTTGCTTTGGCAGCATTGGAGAAAAGTCTGTTATGGCTCAGAGATTCTCAATTATCAGTGGGTCAGCAGCTTCCATTGGGTTTTGTTGATTACCAGTCGCCCAGAATTGGCAATCCACATTTAAAGAACAAATAAATCAGACAAAATAACAGTCTGTCTGTTCATTTAGTGCAAAAGTGAACTACAATGTATCTTCTTTTACTAGATGTTTGTTGTTTCTACAGAAGCATTGTTAATAAATGACATTTTGCAGGCAATAGATTCAACATTCAGCTAACCCTCCCCTACTTAGTAATAGATTGAGCCTTACAGGCTTTTGTAGAGGAAAATCCCTGTGCCAGACAATCACAGGGCTGTCAGGCTGACAAAGCATATACTCCATTGCCTGCAGTGTCCCAGGGCAATTTAATAGTATCTGAGCATTTTAAAGGGGGTGCTGTTTTGGGGAAGAATTCAATTAGAAATTAGTGGTGGTCTTTTAATTTTTTTTTCCTTCATATATGTGAGTTTTTGCCTGCTGCTGTTTACATCATAAAATTCATAAAGCTACACATTTTATTTACCTTGAAAATAAATAAGATCCCTGTAAGTTGGTGTATTAACCAACCGAGCTGCCACAATCATGTAGAATTAACATTCAATATAACAAGCTGTAACCGCTCAACTAAAACATTTGTTTATAAAGTCCTGATTCCAACATTAGAGGCCACGTATCACCCTCTGTTAAACTATACTCTTATACAGCGTGGATGATTTTTTTTGTGTGTTCTTCCTGATTGCAATGTTGCAAAGGACAAAAAATCCTTCTATGTTTTTCGAGTAGAACGAGGGAGTTGCACATTATATTTCCTTATGACTTTTGCCATTACCACAAGGTCTTCCACTACATTTATGTATGTTGCTGAGGGCATGGTCTTCATACTACATCGCCCACATCTTTTCATTACCCGCACAGTACAATAAATCTTATTGTTCCAGTTTGTGTTCTGTTAAAAGAAAAATGCTGATTGGATTGAACGTTTGCATTTTCAAACATTGTGAATTTACTCCCAACAAAGCCTGCTATAAATGTCTGCTCTTGGCTGGGTTAGTTGACTTTGCTCCTTGCTAGTGAATTCAATCTGTGCTTTTTGATGCGTGGCATAGGCAGCATGCTTGCATTTGCATTTTTGCTGCATTTTCTCATCTATTTCCATTTATTCATTTACCCATTGTTTGTCTGTGGTTGTTGTAACAAACATGTTTCCCCCATGTCATTTGTTTTTAAATGTATATTTGTGGTTTTGTAGTACAGAGGAAATTTTTAAAATGTTTTTTTTTTTATATATATTCTATTAAAATTTTTATATATATATATATATATATATATATATATATATATATATATATATATATATATATATATATATATATATATATATATTTTTTTTTTTTTTGGGTTTGGTAAAAAAGGTGGATACTCTCTTCCGCCCCCCTCCCATGCTACTAACTCTCTGGAATTGTTACAAAGCCAAGCAATGTGATTTCTCGTGGGCCACCACAGATGTTTAACCTTACTATTACCAGTATAATTTTACATGGAGCCAATTCAGTAATTTAACTGTGGCAATATAAGCTTTGAAAGTTGTTAGAAAACATTATTGTATTTTTTAAGTTGACTTTTTGTTTTCTTGTTTAACGGGAAATTGTCTTTACAAGCCTATAGACCATATCACCTCCTGCAAACTTCTTTTAGTACAGGATCCCTTTTGGGATTCACCCTTTCAGTGCCTCCTGTGTGTGTGTGTGTATATATATATATATAATGTCCAGACACTGGTCATTAAAAGGATCACTTGTTTGTAAGATAACACTCTTCCTGAATTACAGGATATTTTCTTGTAGGGTGATGGAATGCAACTAACTTCTTCCAGACCCCAGAAAACTCCCTAAAATACAACATTTGGCATTGAAGGTTTCCATGGGGAGGGATCAAGGGACTGAGGGATAGCAAGGCTCCAAAGCTCCGCTCCACCCGCTGAAAACTTTTAAATGCTGTTTCTTTCATCCCTCAAAGAGGATTTTTTTTAATTCCCAGTACCAAATTCAAAGGGATTTAATTAGGCATTTAGAAAAAAAGGAAAGCTGGAACAAAGCCTCTCACAAAGAGGCCATCAGCGTTTGTAGTGTGCAGAGCTCGATGTGTGTGGAGGATGTGCTATTTCATGCATTTTTATCCTTTTCCTGTCCCCACTGTGCAGAAAAAGTGACATCAATATTGGGTATTTCCATTTGTTATATATGATGCTATGTACAGATTCATGGCTGCACTCTCATCTATGAGAATATTAAAGAATTGGATCAGACTAGAGCAGTATTAGTGGCTGAACAGTGATGGGGGATTAAATGGAGGCTATAGCAAGGTCAGCTGAATTGGACTTGGAGGACCTTGTGAAAAGGTCAGTTGCTTTTAAGAAAAGGATTGAACTATGGCTGTCAAGGAGGTATCTCGTGAATTGATGGGGAGGGAAAGAGGTGGCTGGTAGGTCATAATGAGTTAGTAATAATGTAATATGGGAAGTTTGACCCAGTAATATGCGTCTGAAAGAAAAATAAAATGATTGAATTTGTGATGGAACACTTGTAGTAACATGAACATTGATGTTTGGCCGAAGTGGATGTGTATACCAAAGTAAGTTGTGCTGATGTTTGTCGTAAGGAACACAATCCATGATAAGGATATGAATCGCAGTGTTTTGTGTTTCAGTGATCTAATGAGAATTAGGGAGAAAGTAGTTGAGATGGGTAAAGGTGTGGGAGTAAATAAGGAATTCAAGTTTCAGTAATTTAAAATGTTTTGTGTGTGTATGTATGTATGTGTGTGTGTGTATATATATATATATATATATATTTATTACCAAAAATAATGTATAAGGTGCACTCACAGGTCTTTAACAAGTGATTAATTTATTCCAACGTGCAAGTTACATATGCCAAAAATATAGTGATCGACGTTTCGACCCACAAAGGGCCTTTTTCAAGATCAATAATGTTATATATATATATATATATATATAACATTGTGATGTGAAAAGACTTTCCCTTTGTCTTCATCCAACATCTGCACCGCATTAAATAAGTATCACTGTTAGATACTATTGAATGCACATTATTGCAACAAATATATATATATATAACTATATATATATACACACACGCTTCTTCCTTTACATATATATATATATATATATATATATATATATATATATATATATATATATATATATATATACACATACATACATACACACACAAAACATTTTAAATTACTGAAACTTGAATTCCTTATTTACTCCCACACCTTTACCCATCTCAACTACTTTCTCCCTAATTCTCATTAGATCACTGAAACACAAAACACTGCGATTCATATCCTTATCATGGATTGTGTTCCTTACGACAAACATCAGCACAACTTACTTTGGTATACACATCCACTTCGGCCAAACATCAATGTTCATGTTACTACAAGTGTTCCATCACAAATTCAATCATTTTATTTTTCTTTCAGACGCATATTACTGGGTCAAACTTCCCATATATATAACATTATTGATCTTGAAAAAGGCCCTTTGTGGGTCGAAACGTCGATCACTATATTTTTGGCATATGTAACTTGCACGTTGGAATAAATTAATCACTTGTTAAAGACCTGTGAGTGCACCTTATACATTATTTTTGGTAATAAATATATATATATATATATATATACACACACATATATACATACATATATATATATATATATATATATATTTTTTTTATATATATAAAGAAATGACAGCAATGGAGGTTATGTGTTTGTCCATAGTGGAGGAACAATCTGTTTTGTGAGCGCCTTTGCATCAATTTACATGCACAAGCTTGTTTTAGAATTTACGCCACTAAACTCTGGTTTAACAGTTCAATAGATCCTGTGAAATATCCAGGATCTGTTTCATTCCTTTTTCTTAAACAGCAAAATACAATACAAATATTATTATTATTATTGCCATTTATATAGCGCCTACAGATTCCGTAGCGCTTTACAATATTATTTGAGGGGGATTTAACTATAAATAGGACAATTACAAGAAAACTTACAGGAGCGATAGGTTGAAGAGGGCCCTGCTCAAACGAGCTTACAGTCTCTCACTAACACAGCATTCTCAATTAAGCAGAAGGGCCAGGATTGGCAGCACTCTGCCATCCATTGGTCTCATAACCTGGGGGCCAGTTGAGCACACAAAGGACATTCAGATATAAAAATCTTCTGTCTGGTCTTTGTTCTGTGTATTAAAGGGGCTCTTATCCACCTTTGAACATCACTTTTATCTGCTGAAATCATAAGTTGTGCAACAATCGCATTTACATATTTGCAGTCATAAAAGATTGGTTCTCAGTAAAGTTTTGATAAATTGTATCCCAAGGCAATTTACTGCACAATGGTTTAATGATAGGACCACAGCATTCTGGTTGGGTCACATGGATTACATGATTTCTGACTGTGAGAATCTTTGACTCTGAATCGGCTCATGTGTGTTTAATGACTACTGTTTAATTTGTCTTTTGCAATTTCTCATGGAAATTGTCAAATTGGTGGTTACAGTTTTGTCTGAAATAATCTTTTGTCATGTGACTGAAAAATAGGTAACAGTCCTATCTGTGATTTTACAGAGCCAAGTACAGAGAATACCCCTTTAATTTACTTGACACTTTACATATAAAGTAACCACTGTACAATTGTTAACTCCTTTTCTGGCAACTAGCGCGGATAATGACATTGTTCGGGCAAGTTTTTATCCCACTTTATTCTTCTCCTGGACTAAACTTTGTACCAAACACATCACCACTTAAGTGTGTTTAGCAAATGGTGATGGCTGGGATCAAATCCGTATAATTACCAGGAAGGAGATAATTTAGGTTTCTGTAGTTTTGAACCATGTTTAGGACATTGTATTGTTAACTGGCTCACAGGACCAGAAAGGGAATATTATGACTTGACTTGAACTGACATTAAAGGTACTGCAGCTAGTGCACTAACCAGCTGAGCTATCTTACTGGATGCCTGGAGCCCTTTCTGTCTTCCTGGAGGAGTGCTGAAGGCATGGGGACGAGGCGCACAGGATGTATGAGTTAATCGGTTAACCAGCCGCCTGCTTTCTGCACATGGTTCCAGCATAACAAGTGCTTATTTCAGGGTTTTGTGGTCTAAAATAAGAAGCACATTTTGATCTCTGGTTTCCATATATTTGGAGACTGGAATCAAAGTGTAATGGTTTACGTGTGAGCCAGCTTCTGCCTTCAGTGACATTTCCCCATGAGAAGCTGTTTTGTCCTTATGTGTCCATATTTAGACACAGGTCAGTCAGGACAAGGCAAGCCCCGGGGAAAAGAAAACGCAATGTGTATAGCAATACAATTCTGCATGTTTGCTAACAGTTAAATATGTTTTACAGTTCTTTGTCCAAATTTGAGGAAATGTGATCCAAGGCTACCGGATTGCTCTGTATGGGTGCAGTATTGTTGGGCTGCTATTCCAGGTTTATGCTTCAGTGGTTTAACTGGCATTCCTCAAGAGATATCTACCAAGAAAAAGCAGCCTTTTTGACTGACATCAATTTACTGATGGATCAGGAGTTGGAAAATGCCTCTTAGTTTTGAGGAGTTCAAAACCTCCTGCCCTTCCCCCCATGCTGTTGGTGCTATTATTCCCATAGTGCTTTGCCAGTCTGGCTGTCCAGGAGTTTTGGGAGCGGTGGTTGAGCTGTAGCGGAGGAGGCTTAGTTGGACATTCCTACTTTTTTATACTGAGCATTCTGTGTGGCCCAATATTTGTGTCAATTCTCTTTGCTAGATACTTGCTTTAAGACATTTCTTTGTCATCTGCTGTCACATGGTGTCATCTTTTTGTGGAGTTGTGTGTCTTTGTTTTTATTTCGATTTTGTTTTCCAAATCTTTAGTTAAGAGTAATAATGGTTTGCCTTTTGCACAGAAGCCATACTTAGCGACTAGATTAGCAAATCTTGATTTCCATGATTCATTTCTGTAGTACATTTGGCCCTCTTTTGATGGATCATGTGCAGACTGTGTGTGCGCCTCTGGACTGTTTGTAAATATGCAACTAGTTCACTCTAATGCCATGCGGATTCATGCAAAGCGAACAAGCCCTTGCATATGGAGTGTTTCTCTCAGAAACTGAAGTACTCTGGGAATTAAAATAGTTATCTGGTAAAAAACTTTTGTTTAGTCCTTTGTTTCCTGCGTTGTTCTTTTCGTCTTTGACTCCTATGGTTTTATTGCTATACAGGATCCAATTTGTGCTTGATTTATATACATTTTTGTTGTATCCTTTTCTGTATGTGCTGATGTCTGTGGATGCAAAAGGTCATGACATAGTGGTAAAGACCCCTAAGATAAAGATTGAATGCAGTAATCTGTGTTTTTGGGTAGCACAATGCATATTTTAGATTTCAATCCTTTTAAAGTGACACCACCTTATTTTTACAAAATGGATACTCTTTCAATCTTCCCTGCTGGATACCTCTTTAATAAGCATCCATTTTAAAGATCTTGTCAGATAGTAGTACCTCTACTTCCCCTAATGTTTTTGGCATACATGGATTTCTGAGAAAGCTTTTAGCCGTGCACCATTGGTTGCATTCTGGCTATGAATGGGTAAACCCGATCACAGCAAAGGCTTTTATATTGAATGTAAAGAATAATTTGTGATTGACCTTATCTGAAATAGATGGATTACCAGAGTTTGGGGATTGTGCTCTTGGGAATGTTAGGGAGAAAATGTTATGCGGAGTTTAATTAAATACCCACAGGTTATGAATATGTATGATCTTGGGGGGGTACAGAATCCTCAAACGGATCGGAAATCAAGTGAGTAGGGACAGTGCTTTAATCAAACACATTAACGTCTGTTACTGGTATAAGTGCTGTCTGGTGACAGGCCTGGCCCTTTCTATGATGCCAATGTAGTCCCTTTCTGCTTTGCTATTCAGAAAAGCAATTATTTACTCAAAATGAAACCTGCAGTGAATCGCAATTACAGGAAAAGTATCACTAAACAGGATTGCCCTGTTTTATGTTGTTTTTTTTAGCTCAAACCACGCGAGCTGGGAAATGTGGTATTAAAAAGGATGGAGTGTCTGATGTGATATGGACTGTCTAAACTGAGCTCCCATTTTCAGTTTCCCCAGGTAGTCTTAGTGGTTTTGTTACACCTCGCACAATACTGCTCTTAACAATTTAAAACACTTCTACTTGTCTCCCCATTTTGCATTGAACTTGAATTAAATCATTCTAATGTGTGTCATTTATTTAATTTACTTAGTGACATGCATTATCCCTGTCATTGTACTGCATTAAAAATATGCCAAAAAAAGAGAGATAAAAGCTTGAGTTTTTAACATTCCTTTCTCGACTTTTCTTGCACAGTAAGTGTTGGTAGCATTTCACTAGCAAGAGGTTCCATCAATCTGAAACCTCTCATTCTTTGGGTCTGCTGTTATCCCATAAACATATGTAAAACAATGACAGAAGCCTATGCTGAAAATATTATTTAATGTATCAGCACCAGGGAGCAGGATTTAAACTGTTTTAATGTTTGTGTTTTATATATATATATATATGCCAGTATGAAGGGTAGTAGTCTCTTCACAATTGCATGACATCAAGGGTCATACTGAGATTTTAATTGTTTGAGCTTGTACTCCTCTGAAGTTACTGGGGCCTTTTTAGCTATCCTATTTTGTATTTTTATACAGGATACATCATGCAGTGATTTTAACGCATACATGCTGTACAATGGGTGTACCTGAAAATGTGAAATAGCCCTATACTTGGTAGAGAGAGTATATGGCCAATTTTTAAAAGCATTTTTTATTTTATTTTTATTTTTAAAAGCAAATTTTTTTTTAGTTAATTTATTTATTTATAAAATATTTTACCAGGAAAGATACATTGAGATTTCTCTCGTTTTCATTCTCAAGTTTTCTCTCGTTACTATATGGTAACTCTTGTGATGCTCCAGGGAATTGTTCTTATCCTATTGCGCGTCGCTTGGAGCTGTATCCCCCCAGCCCTCCCCTTTCCCACTTCTGGCTGCCACCCTATGTCCACTAATGAGTTGTGGCGACCGCTTGGCTGTATGGAGAGTGCGTGTCTATACAGATTACGGCCACAGTGACCCAGATCCTGACACTCTCATGGTGATAAACTGCATCTCTGTCTCTCTACATGCTACAATAGACAGCTGTATGTCGGCTCTCTTATTTCTAATCCTGCCCAATGCAACTGTGTAGGTTTCTCATTGGCCACCAAGCACAGATTACTAGCCCTCCAATACCAAGTTGATTTAGCACGCATCCGTCATTTGGCTTATGATATTAGCATTGACTGCCTGGAGACAAATGGTGCTATACAGATCTAAGGGATAATTTATCATTTGTTGTGTTAGAAGTGAAATCTTTGTGTGAAGGGATTTTCTTGGCAGTAATGTGCTTTCTGTGTCTCCTTGACTTTTTGCTTTCTGATTTGGAGATAAACATCTCTTGTCAACTGCTGGGGTTGATTCTAGTCTGTGATATGATCATACTGCATCCAGTGCAATAATTGTTTGGTCACGCTTGCCTTAATTAAAGATCTGTCCTACATTTCATTTGTATGGAATGATTAACAAGGAAGCTGTGTGATGTCTGCAGGGCCATCAGAAATTTTAGGGCCCCTGACACAGCTCAAGATCTGGGCAAGCCCCGAGTCCGCCCATAGTGGATGTGGTATGTGTGTCATGGATGCAGTGTGTATAGTGGATGTGGTATGTGTGTCATGGATGCAGTGTGTATAGTGGATGTGGTATATGTGTCATGGATGCAGTGTGTATAGTGGATGTGGTATATGTGTCATGGATGCAGTGTGTATAGTGGATGTGGTATGTGTGTCATGGATGCAGTGTGTCTAGTGATGTGGTATGTGTGTCGTGGATGCAGATTGTACGTTTTGTGTAATGTATGTAATGTTTGTATGCATGCATTAGATGCAGTGTGTGTGTAGTGAATGCAGAGTGTTTTTGTAGTGGATGTAGTGTGTCTACAGTGAATGGAGAGTGTGTATTTTTGTAGTGGATGTAGTGTGTGTACAGTGAATGCAGTGTGTATTTTTGTAGTGGATGTAGTGTGTTTGTATTGAGTGCAAAGTGTGTATAGTGCATGTAGTGTGATTGTGGTGAATGCAATATGTGTATAGTTAATGTAGTGTGTTTGCAGTGAGTGCAAAGTATGTATAGTGATTGTAGTGAGTGCAAAATGTGTATAGTTCGTGTAGTGTGATTGTAGTGAATGCAAAATGTGTGTAGTTCATGTAGTGTCATCGTAGTGAGTGCAAAATGTGTATGGTGATTGTGGTGAATGCAGAGTGTGTATAGTGAACGCAGTGTTTGTAGTGAGTACAAAGTGTGTTTAGTAAATGTAGTGTGTTTAGCGAGTGCAGAGTGTGTGTGTCTAGTGAATGTAGTGCAGAGTGTGTGTGTCTAGTGAATGTAGTGCAGAGTGTGTGTGTCTAGTGAATGTAGTGCAGAGTGTGTGTGTTTGTGTGTTTGTGTAGTGCAGTGTGTGTTTAGTGAATGTAGTGTGTGTGTGTGTGTGTGTGTGTGTGTGTAAGGATGCAGTGTTTGTGTAAAGTAGGGGGGAGTGGAGTATTTAAAAAAAAAAAAAAAAAATATATATATATTTAAATTTTAAATTTTATTCCCCCCCTCCCCGGTTCTTACCTTGCCAGGGAGGGGGGAGATCGCATTTACTGGTGGTCTGGTGGAGAGAGCCAGCCGCGTTACATTTCAGAGGGGGGGCACAGCAGCACACACTGTCTTCCTTTTCAGTTCCTCTCTGACGAACTCTCGCGAGACCGGCCTGCGTGCTGTGCGGAGCGTTGCCATGGTAACCCATGGCACCGCTCTGGCGGCCGCAGGAGAGTTAGAGAGGAGCTGGAAGGAGGACAGAGTGTGCTGCTGGTCCCCCTCTGCAATTTACAGGTATATATCTGTGCACATAAGGAATGTGGGGCTCAGACTGCCAGAGCAGTCCGGGTCCCTCAGGACCGCCGGGCCCATGACAACCGTTATGGTTGTCATGCCCTGATGGTGGCCCTGGATGTCTGTGGATATTGGGGATCTCGAAGGAATGAGATTAAAAAAAATACTTATAAATTGTATGTGGCACGATTGGACACTTTATATGCATTAAACTTGCTTTTCTTGAGTTTCTCTTGCCTTGTTCCTTAGATATCAGATGGTCTCCTCAGTCTGGCCTTTCTAGAATGAAATGTTACACATTCAGACTCTTATAACAAAAGCCACATCATGGAGATTGCAAATCGTTAATCCTAAATTCATTATTTGTTCCACATTACGTTTATACAAAGTAGTCTTGAATTTGAGCTTCTGGTTTTAATAACTAGCATCATTACCTGGACAAGGTGTTAGCTCTCCTCCTGGCTATGTGTCTAGCGTTTTTTTTTGTTTTTGTTTTTTTTATGATCAATACTTACCCAGCATTATTACTTGTAAGCTAAATATGTTGGACGCCCCTTTGAACAACATAGTCATTTGATGATACATTGGTTGGCTAATCTATCCTACTGATACAGTCTTCCTGATGTCTCATTGCTATGACCCAGGGTTTGCTTTCAGTGAGATAATGAACCCTGAAAACTCTGGACACTGTGGGAATATTTGCTTATCAGTATTATTAGTCCTGACAATTTATCCTCTGAGAGTCCCCAGACTTGGAGTCCATTGCTCTGTTTAGATTTATTTTGCAATATCCCCCTCTGTGCCTGCCCCATGGGAGCCTTTGAGATATGTGTGTAATCAGTTGTGCTTCCTCCGTTTGACACGTCCACAGCTCATCAAATGAAACCCACCTCATTACTTCCGAAATGAGAATATTAGTAAATCTGATTTGTATGAGCAAGTGGTACAGAAACGCACACTGTTTTAGTACTAAATTTGTAGCATTGCTTTCTTATATTCGTTAAAACCTTGGAATCCATGTGAAAGATCAGGAGTTTCTCCATTTTTGCAATATTCCAGTTTGATTATTCATAATCTCTTATGTTGTAAACACCTGTAGTTCTCGCCTGTCAAATGCTTTCTGTAGGTTTCACAGGCAGTTTGTACAGTATTCGGCTTAGGCTGTGTCACAGAAAAGTTGTTATAAGGCTGTATAAACCTGCTGAGACTTGACTGTGCTAGGGCTGGATAATCTGACTCTTTCACGTTCTTGTTCTGGCCGAGGGTAGTGGGTAATCCATTTTAGTTTGCCCATTAACAAGTCAGATGTTACATGCTGCTGATAAATGGGATAGTGGCAATGGCTAATCTTTCAAACCTAGTTTGCTTTATTTTGCAAGTATTGCTTGGACAATATTGGGGCAGAATACATTGTCCTTTTTACAACTCTTAATATCCCCCATCCTTCCTGAATACAAGGTTTTTGCAGGTATAGATCTGCAAGGGTCTTGTGTTAGAGTGAGATAACCCATATATTAGCTAATGCCAAGTTATCACTTTGAAATCCTGCCTTCAGGAGACTTATGTGATGGGTTTACAAAGTGGTAATGCGGAAACTCCTCAAAAGAACCATTTTTTGGACAAACCGTGCCCTCGTAGTTCACAGTAGGTGGAAATCTGGATGAATAGGCACATTTATTTATTGTCTCTCAAATTTGTATTCCAAGCAAAGATGATTTTCAACCACCCCGTACGACTACCTCCCTAGTTAAAGAGGAAACTTCATTATTTTTGACCTTTTTGATTGTTTTCCTTTAAATTATATTGATATTTATCAAAGTGTCTGAAAAATGGTGGTTAAATTCTGCCATTATTTTGATCATATTTAGGGCTCAACAAATTCCAGGAGCCTGGTCACCATGGTTACTAGGAATTATGGTGTCATGGTTTTTGACAGCCCGTTAAGCAAAGATGGGCGAGTGGTCAAGTAGCCGGGTGAGAAAGGAGACTGATAGGCAGGCGGTCGGCTGGGAATGGAGATGGGTGCGTGAGGGAGCTGTAATCTTCCTACTGGGATGCTGGGAGCCTGAATAGGTCTTCGTGTCCCAAGCATCACTAAATGGAACGTCAGGTAGCAGAGCATGCATTGTTTACATTAAAAAGCCTGCAGGAACAGACTATAAACAGCGGAACCACTACATCATGCTGTGTACTATACATCAACCTGGATAATATACATTAAGCTGTAGTGGTTCTGGTGACTATAGTGTCCCTTTAAGAACTGAACTTTTATCATTAAAATGTTTTTTTTTTTTTTTTAGCTGGCTTCTAGATTCAGAGTAAATTTGTCAACCCTTTTATTAACGTGACCTTAAAAAATGACAGTTTTTTTCATAGTAAATTCCGAAGGTTTTCTCAGAAATTTCAATTTTAGAAGACTGCCATATTTATACTAGTGGGAAAATTTTGTCAATTTTTCCAATAGGCAAATCCGTTGCATCAGCACATAATCAAAAATGACAGGTTACAAAACATCAATATAAATATATATATTGGAAAATGTGACTCTCGGACAGGGGAGGGCTGGCAACTTGTGGCCTGGGGGGCAGAAGTTACTTAGTGGCCCATAGTGCAGTTTTACCAACTCCGCCCTTTAGCATCGGGATAGACAAAAACAAAATAGATGTGTTGATAGACATATAAGATAATTGAAAAGAAAGAATTAAAGTGCAATTCACCTGGGCATTTACAGGGAGTGCAGAATTATTAGGCAAATGAGTATTTTGACCACATCATCCTCTTTATGCATGTTGTCTTACTCCAAGCTGTATAGGCTCGAAGCCTACTACCAATTAAGCATATTAGGTGATGTGCATCTCTGTAATGAGAAGGGGTGTGGTCTAATGACATCAACACCCTATATCAGGTGTGCATAATTATTAGGCAACTTCCTTTCCTTTGGCAAAATGGGTCAAAAGAAGGACTTGACAGGCTCAGAAAAGTCAAAAATAGTGAGATATCTTGCAGAGGGATGCAGCACTCTTAAAATTGCAAAGCTTCTGAAGCGTGATCATCGAACAATCAAGCGTTTCATTCAAAATAGTCAACAGGGTCGCAAGAAGCGTGTGGAAAAACCAAGGCGCAAAATAACTGCCCATGAACTGAGAAAAGTCAAGCGTGCAGCTGCCACGATGCCACTTGCCACCAGTTTGGCCATATTTCAGAGCTGCAACATCACTGGAGTGCCCAAAAGCACAAGGTGTGCAATACTCAGAGACATGGCCAAGGTAAGAAAGGCTGAAAGACGACCACCACTGAACAAGACACACAAGCTGAAATGTCAAGACTGGGCCAAGAAATATCTCAAGACTGATTTTTCCAAGGTTTTATGGACTGATGAAATGAGAGTGAGTCTTGATGGGCCAGATGGATGGGCCCGTGGCTGGATTGGTAAAGGGCAGAGAGCTCCAGTCCGACTCAGACGCCAGCAAGGTGGAGGTGGAGTACTGGTTTGGGCTGGTATCATCAAAGATGAGCTTGTGGGGCCTTTTCGGGTTGAGGATGGAGTCAAGCTCAACTCCCAGTCCTACTGCCAGTTCCTGGAAGACACCTTCTTCAAGCAGTGGTACAGGAAGAAGTCTGCATCCTTCAAGAAAAACATGATTTTCATGCAGGACAATGCTCCATCACACGCGTCCAAGTACTCCACAGCGTGGCTGGCAAGAAAGGGTATAAAAGAAGGAAATCTAATGACATGGCCTCCTTCTTCACCTGATCTGAACCCCATTGAGAACCTGTGGTCCATCATCAAATGTGAGATTTACAAGGAGGGAAAACAGTCCACCTCTCTGAACAGTGTCTGGGAGGCTGTGGTTGCTGCTGCACGCAATGTTGATGGTGAACAGATCAAAACACTGACAGAATCCATGGATGGCAGGCTTTTGAGTGTCCTTGCAAAGAAAGGTGGCTATATTGGTCACTGATTTGCTTTTGTTTTGTTTTTGAATGTCAGAAATGTATATTTGTGAATGCTGAGATGTTATATTGGTTTCACTGGTAATAATAAATAATTGAAATGGGTATATATTTGTTTTGTGTTAAGTTGCCTAATAATTATGCACAGTAATAGTCACCTGCACACACAGATATCCCCCTAACATAGCTAAAACTAAAAACAAACTAAAAACTACTTCCAAAAATATTCAGCTTTGATATTAATGAGTTTTTTGGGTTCATTGAGAACATGGTTGTTGTTCAATAATAAAATTAATCCTCAAAAATACAACTTGCCTAATAATTCTGCACTCCCTGTATATGTGAAAAGTAGTTAGAGAGCATCTCGGAGAGCAATTGCCCTGCCCACCTGCACATCACTAATCCAGGCAAGCATTTAGTAAAATACTTTCTGAAGGATTTCCCAGCAAGGGAATGCATACACCTTGTATATCTTGCCAATGAAAATTAAATCCATAAACTAGGTAAATCATGTCAAAGAGCAGTAAACCTGCCCCCGGCAGCTCTGTGCCATCGTATCCTAATGGCATCCCCAGCAGCTTGCTCAGGCATCCTCGTTGCTCCCTGGTGTCTAGTGGGAGGCTGTGCACTGTGTATGTGCACATACATCCTGTTGCCAGACTGTATCACATTTAGTGAAGTCAGAGGTGGCAGGTTATGTGACTCGCGACCTCTGACTTCCCAAAACACACAGGAAGTGCGAGAGACTGTGACAGGATGTAGACTGTGCACATACACAGAGCACAGGCACCGCGCTGCCTCCTTCTCCCCGCTGAGGCGGCTGGTATCCAGCCACAAAATATACGGACAATGCTGCCGGTATATTCCTAATTCCGGCACCAACTGGCTTAACGGTTGGCAAATGGCTAGAACTTTTGGCGGCCTTTGGGGCAACTGACTCCTGGCCCAGCCAGCCCCTGCTGTCAATGAGCTAAAATGGAAGAACCTGTGCGATAAAGTGATGTGGAGTTCAACATTTTATTTTACTTCTTACAAATACATTTGTTAAATATAAGGGATAAGTTAACATTTGTAATAAAACGTTTTTTTTTTGGGTTTTTTTTAAAAACCACACTGTCACTCTAAAGAGTTGCACTGCAGGGATTGGAGATTTGCATCAAGATGAAGTGGTTTTGGTGCTTAGGCTTGTCCCTTTAACCCATTTGCTTGCAATCAATATTTGTTGCCTATAAGTATTTGTTACCCAGGTATATTTGTTTAATTTATTCCAAATGTTTGTTTCTGCCATTCAGTGCAAATGTCTAGGAATTCCTTGTACACACATAGTGAATCATGGGAAGTTATCTGTCACTGGTATGTAGAGGTACGTGTCACACTACGGTATACGTGAGCACACACAATGTAACTGCTCAATGTTTTCACACAGTGTTGTAATGTTGAAAGTTAGAATGTAGGGAAACCCGGATTTTCTACAAAGGTACAGCGCTGCGGAATATGTTGGTGCTATGTAAATTATAACATAACCTGCAAAAATAATGAAAATAATCGGTTTAAACGCATTGAAGATGTAAAGCAAAGGAAAATGTATAATTTAGTCCCTGCAGCAGAGCCCAAATATTGATCTTCCCTTCTGTGATTCCTTTATGCAGCAAATGTGTCTAGTACTAGGTGTTTTCGTGTCCCGTGCTCCCTCTCCGGCTAATGCTGGAGTATTGGGTCCTTCCATTCATGCATTGGTTATCTCGTGGCTCACCCCTCTGTATCGGCTATTTGCCAGTTCAGCATTTTTGTCTAAAGTGCACAGCAAGAGACAAAGACATGAGCCACAGCAGGCTTTAGCAGAGCCTTTCGTCTCCCCTCCTGCTAATTAACGTAATTACAGCTCAAGTGAATATTCATAAATTACTCTGGCTCTAATTTGTATGAAATGACAGACTGTTCACCCCCTGAATGATTGAAGAGGTCCGGAATAATTCCATTTGATTCCAATCTCTTTCCCCTCCCCCTTCCACTCCTCTGACTTTCATTACTTTGTGTTTGTTTAAACTCTGGGCTGCAGTTTGCCTCTAATATTGGTCAGTTTCTCCCGTGATGGTATGTGATTTTGTTTTCTTAAATTAAACTTACTGAGTTTTTGTTGTTTCTTAATATTTTTGAGATGTAGCACTTGAAGTGGTGTTTGTAGACATAACTCTGACGTGGCCCTCTTTTGCATTGACATTTTTCCTTTTTGGAAGGCAAATCACTGGTGTTTCAGATCAAATCTTTACAAACAAAATGGTAAATGCTGCATTAGAATTTTGTTGATATCAGTAAAAAAAATATATATACAATATACACGAGATAAAGACCATAAATTTTTTTAAATGTATAATGTATAAGCAAAGGGGTATCTCCTTGTTTCCTTATACTTTTGTGCGTATCTACCAGAACGTACATGTTTTAGCACTTAGTTATTTACAAAGAATAAAATGACGTGCAATTCATTGTGCAGTTTCCGATGCATGTTCCTCAGTTGTTAAATAATCTGTTTTAACTATACTTCCAATAACCCCTTCAAGCCACTTAGCTGAATCCAGCGCCGATGTCCCTCTGCGATGGGCCAGGCTCTGCCCACGCTCCTCCCTCACTGACGTCAGCCGGCGGGGGAGACCTAATGCGCATGCGCAGCAATGGACGTGTGCACATTAAACCTCCCCATAGGAAAGCATTATTCAATGCTTTCCTATGGGGAAAATCTGACGCTGGAGGTCCGTGAGGATGTTTAGCGTCAGACCAAAAGTCAGTTTTAATTCCGGAAGCCCTCTAGTGCCCGTCTGTTAGACTGCCACAGAGGGCAGACTTAGAGCTGCAATTGCAGCACAAAGTGCAAAAGGGACACAGCACCCAGACCACTTCAATTAGCTGAAGTGGTCTGGGTGCCTACAGTGTCTCTTTAAGCATGTGAGGGATATGCATAAGGCTATCCTAGCTATAAGATAAGGCCAGGGAGTAATGAAAGTATTTAGAAAATTGGGCAGACTAGATGGGCCGAATGGTTCTTATCTGCCGTCACATTCTATGTTGAGGGAATCTTACGAACGGCTATTTATACTTAAAATTTTAAAGTCTCTGGCCAGTTACCCTAAATTCTCTACACACTTGTTCATTTTTTTCATTAATTCTGGATAGCCTGTCATGGGCTATTCTTGATGAAACACACATTCAAAGGACCAACCTAGGGATATATTAGAAACTATTCATCAGCATTCTGAAGTGGGGGATATTTACCAAATGGGCTGTATGTAAAGTGCCAGTTTTGTTAGTCATAATTTTTTTTTAATTTTTTTTTACAACTTTTAGTTTCCATGCCCACATTTTCCTGCGCTTCTTGTTTCATGAAAAGCCTGCAGTCTTGATTGTCAAAGACATTTACATGCTTGAGAGGTGCCCAAGTGTTTGTTTTAGTGTTACTCTGTGTTCTGCCGGTTGGGGGCCTTATTGGTTCTGTTGTGTCCCCTCCATCCATCCCCCTCTCTCTTTCTCCCTGTATTATGTCTCTCTGATTTCTTTTCTTGTCTCTGCCCGCACAGACCACTTGAACAACAATTGTACAGATTGGAAGCTTTCCATATGAGTGCTGCTGAATGCAGAACAAGAGCTTGAAAACGGGAATATTATACCAGCTATGAGGGCATTTAACCCTTTGACTGCTCGCTTTCTGGAACACACTTGGTGGAAGCCATTCAATGCTTTTCCTTCCTACTAGCTGGTATTAAACCATTTATCCATGCAGCAATAAAGAGACTTCTTGGGGGGAGCTGTAAACGGTTAGGTGCGAATTTGATGCTTCAATGGCTAATTCATTGATTGTCTTCTGGCAGGGCTTTGGTATAGCATTGATGATTAGCTTTCTGCTACAGTGGAGCTAGAAAAAGGGTAAAAATATCAGTGGACAATAGCGTTTATAGGTCTGTATGTATAGCATTTGTCTATGGTCAGACACACGCAGAACAATACAGCAGTACCATATTAACACATTCACACAGACCGCTTGTCAGGCTGTCATAATTTCATAAAATTGCTTTGTTCCCTTTTCCTATCCACCCTTCCCCCTCCAAAATCAGTATTTCATAAAAATAAAATCTTTATGAAATATTCACATTGACTGTGTTGGCATTTCACTGATATTACAACGCAGTTAAGAGATATATAGTAAGACAAAGTCAGGCCTATTTTCTTGGTATTTTTCTTAGACTTGAAAAAACATGGAACTACTGCTGTCACAGTAATTGCAATTTTCCCACAACGTTCATCGGTGATTGCTGCACGATAAGGACCTGGGGCCGCGAGGGACAGGTTCAGGTAAGTAAAACTCACTTTCCCCAGAACCCAACGGAGCAGTCACTGCTGGGGGAGACTGTGACAGAGTGATTTACCTGCTGATAAATGTTTTACTGAGATTTCTTTGACAGTCACTGTTCAACCCATGCCCCCATAACCATAAGTGTGTGGTCAAGCTGGGTTTTTGCAAATCATTGCAGCAGATGGAAAACTCAATTTATCACATCCTATGCATGGAGCCCCGATGTTGTAGTGTTTCACGAGTCCCCTTAACATGTAGCCGTAAAACATGTAGTTAGATTTTTTTTTTTTTTTTTTTAAATATACTGGAGATTGCACTTTCCTGACTGTTAGTAGAACAAAAGGGCAGGATCTGCGTTGCAAAACATTTATTCCTCCTCGGCCTATTGCTGACACTTCAGTGAGCTGAAAATGACTTACCCTGAGGATCTGTACATACACCCTGCCTTAATGATCTTCATGTCTACATTGTACAAAGCTTGCTTCTGACAAGTATTTTTACAAGCAGGACACCTCTGTCCAGAGTGGCCGATATCCAGTCCAGTGGTTTAGGAAATCTTAAACTTGTATGAAACCTTCAATCTTCTACTGAACCTCATGTGTTTGCTGTCTATCAGGAATGAGTGGCTGAAAGCAATGTTCATTCAATGAGTGAAAGGTGGACATTACTTCTGCTAGTGATTTCTCCCACTCTCTATAGTGCAGTTATGTTCCAGATAGTGATGATTTACAATTCTGCACATCATTTGCTTAGCCTGAAGAATTCCATATTTCCATGGCTTTAGCTTGACTACAGATTGCTTTGTCCAATCTTATTATATTAAAGGGAAACAACTTCAGTTTAATCAAGTAGCTTTGGTGTATAGATCCTTCCCCATGCAGTCTCACTGCTCAGGTGTTCTCTGCCATTTAGGAGTTAAATCACTTTTGTTTCTGTTTATGCAGCTCTAACCACACATCCCTGACTGAAGCCTACATGAAACCAATATATATTTTTATTCTGATCTGACTGCACAATGTGTTTACTTTAGAAGTTATCTCCTGCTAGATTAAATTCAATCTCTCATGACATTCCTGCATACTGTAGCAGACAATTAACAAATCTTGAGATAAGACATTTTAAATTAAAAAGACTGTGCAATAAAGGAAGTGTAAACGTTAGATCTCTCTTTACAGGAAATGTGTAGGGAAACTGTGTAGGTGTGAATAGTGTTGCATAAACAAAGTGATTTAACTCCTAAATGGCAGATAATTGAGCAGTGAGACTGCAGGGTGATGATCTATACATTAAAACTGCTTCATTAAGCTAAAGTTGTGTTGTTGCTTAGTGTCCTTTTAATTGCAGAACTGGCTCTAAGAGTGTAAGACTAAATAACCCATCTGATGGAGAAGTGTCTGTTACATTTTGACCCTTTCCCTGCCTGTTCTGGCATCAGGCCAAGTCATTTTTTCACAGATGCAGCAATGATGGTTTTGTTTCAATGGAACTTCACCTTACTCCCCTTAAAAGTATATTTTCTCTCCTATTGTTTGTTTGTTGTGAGTGTAGATGTTTTGTCTGATATTTGGTTGCTTCCCCTTGAAGGGTCTCCTGGGCAGGACATAAGTTCCACAATTTACTGCAAAATGAAAACTAAAAATATTGAAAAATAAAGATCCTTGCATTTAATTTTTATTTTTATTTTTAAATTTACCAATAATCACCCAAAAGCAGTTAATGGTCAAAATTCTCAGGTAATATTTGTCCTCTTGTTGATTTTAGTGGAATTGCCGAGCCAGGTACACGGCCAGCAGGGTAGCTCCGCAGTAATTCAAAAAGGGTTCAAAATCCTTGCCTGGAAATTATAGACCTGTGAGCTTAACTTCTGTGGCTGGTAAAATATTTGAATGGTTATTAAGGGATAATATTCAAGAATTCCTTGAGAAGAACATGGTTATCAGCAAAACTGAGCACGGTTTTATGAAGCACAGGTCATGTCAAACTAACTTGATTGCGTTCTACGAAGAAGTAAGTAGAAGTATAGATCAGGGTGTTGCCATGGATGTGATCTATTTGGATTTTGCCAAGGCATTTGATACAGTTCCACACAATAGATTAGTGTTCAAACTCAAGGAAATCGGTCTAGATGAAAATGCTTGTTCTTGGGTAGAAAGAGTTGTCATTAATGGTAAATTTTCAAGCTGGACAGAGGTGGCAAGTGGTGTCCCTCAGGGGTCTGTTCTGGGACCCCTTCTATTTAACATGTTTATAAATGATCTTGAAGACCGCATTGAAAGTCATGTTCCAGTGTTTGCAGATGACACAAAACTTTGTAAAACAATACAATGTGAGCAAGATATTACTTTGCTGCACAGGGATTTAGATAGACTGGGGGACTGGGCACTCAAATGGCAGATGAAATTTAATGTTGAAAAATGCAAAGTTATGCACTTCAGCGTAAAGAATACACATGCAACGTATACCCTTAATGGAAGCAAATTAGGGATAACAACACACGAAAAGGACTTGGGAATTGTTATAGACAACAAACTATGCAACAATGTGCAATGTCAATCAGCAGTGGCCAAGGCCAGTAAGGTATTGTCATGCATGAAAAGGGGCATTCATTCTCGGGACAAGAATATCATTTTGCCTCTTTAAAAATCACTGGTAAGACCACATATTGAATATGCTGTGCAATTTTGGGCACCTGTTCTAAAGAAGGATATTATGGCACTAGAAAAAGTGCAGAGGCGGGCTACAAAATTAATAAAAGGAATGGAACATATCGGCTATGAAGAAAGGTTAACAAATTTAAACCTATTTTAGTTTAGAAAAATGTCGCCTGAGAGGGGATATGATAACATTATACAAATATATTCGGGGCCAATACAAACCATTGTGTGGAATTCTTTTCACAAACCGGACTTTACATAGGACACGAGGCCATGCGTTTAGACTGGAAGAAAGAAGATTTCGTCTAAGGCAAAGGAAAGGTTTTTTTACTGTAAGAACAATCAGGAAGTGGAATTCTCTGCCTGAAGAAGTGGTTTTATCAGAGTCCATACAGATGTTCAAACGGCTACTAGATGCATACTTGCAAGAACAGAATATTCAAGGATATAATCTTTCAATGTAGGGTAATAACTGCTTGATCCAAGGATAAATCTGACTGCCATTCTGGGGTCAAGAAGGAATTTTTTTCCTAGCTTGTTGCAAAATTGTGTTTCAAACTGTTTTTTTTTTTTGCCTTCTTTTGGATCAACAGCAAAAAACTAATGTGAGGTAGGCTGAACTTGATGGACGCAAGTCTCTTTTCAGCTATGTAGCTATGTAACTATGTAACATGGGTGAAATAACTGGGCAGGCTAATATGTCCTGCATTGTACTTAATATCTAACAGGCTGTTTTCATTGTTTTCCATGAATGCAGCGCATGTTCCCAAATAGAAATGTATGAGTTATTTTATCTCAGACCATGGGGCAATGTTTACTTCCTACATCAGACATGCAATTTTACGTAAGTGTGTGATAAACATGGTTCTCTTTGTGATTACAATTTTTTTATAGTGTGTATTACTTTGATGACACATGGCCTCTCACTACTTCCATAATGTTCATTTGAAAGAGAAATAAAGAATGTCTTTATTAATTGGATCTGTGTAATGTTTTGTGCTCGGTGAGATGCTGGTTGTTGTGTGTGCAGGTGCAGGCAGTATTTATTAAGCTAATTGCTTACATACAGAAACCTCCATTAGCTGAATGAGTGAAATCTAACTGGGCTCTGTCCATTCAGCCAGATAGCATTTCATAGTGTTTATTGCTGTTCTCCTGTGGATCTTTTTATTTATTTTTTTGGGGTAGTTCGTCTTGGGTTACAGGCTACAGCAGGCGGGTAGCTTTTTTACCAATGCTTCCCGGCAGGGCTTGGAAGAGCAGCCATGGGTAGTGTGCCGAGTGCGCTCAGGAGGAATCGAGTTGCAATTTTCCAGGGATTACTAATGCAGAAAAGCTGTTTTCCCATTGAGTGGACTTCCCATTAACTCCGTGTCCAGGTCACCTGCGGAACAGAAAGGGATGGCAGGCTAATGCTCTTATTGCCATAGTGATGGCTATTGAAGAGGAACATAAAACTTCAATAGGAAGACGCATGCGGCGTACTCAGCCCTCACAAAATATTAGACATATTTTTATGAGTCCAGTTCACACATGCTTTATAGACACTGTAATAGCATTATATTGATAATTAGCAAATTGACTTAATCTGCGCTCTGCAGCCTCTTTTATTCATTTAGAGCATTACTCCCAACAGTTTTGATCTCGGTTTTGCAGCTCCCTATCAATTCACCACCTAATGAATGCCAGTGTAAGGATTGAATCAGACCATATAAAGCCATGTTTGTGCAGTGTGATTTAGGTGACCAGATACACTATAGATTCCAGGATAACAATCCGTTTGTGATGGAGTAGAATTAATAGACTTTGGGGGAAATTGTTAGAAGTGCATTCAACTCGTTACTGGACAGTAGTTTTAGCACATGAAATGGATGCATCCAGCAGAGTATGATCTATTGCAGACTGAGCATTGTATCAGCTGAGCCTGTAAGCCTTGCAAGTACGGCTAATACTCAGAAATCTCTTGCATCAGAATAGGCTATTTATAGTCCCAGGAAAGACTCCTTAGGATACATTATTAATGAAGTGTCTTCCAATTAAGAAAGATGTGTCTGCTCTTGTGGGTGTTTGTCAAGGTAAGGTGCCTGCTTAGTAAGCTGGCAATTTATACTATCAGGAGCTGGTGATGAAAGAGCCACCAGTGTCTTATGTCTTTGAATTGGATAAACAAGTCCTAGCTTTGCAGTGCGTTGTTCAATGTTTACAGCTTCACCGAGTTAATGGAAATTTATAGCCAGATACACACTTGAGGTCTGCATGTTGTATCATTCCCTCTGATGGCACCAGCAACCGAGGCAGGGCTTCCCACCGCAACCAGAGCAGACATGATACAAGAGTTCAGTGTGGCTGTACTTTGTTTAGTTAACCTATGTTCACTCGCTGCTTCATTTTTCTATATATTATGCCCAGTCATCAGCTTGCTAAAATACAGAGAGAAATAGTTTTTTTGCATTATAATATTCATTATGATAGCACCTCCATATAGTGACACACTCGATATTCAAGACCAGTGACCCCTTAAGGGGATAAACTGTGATACCCATTTGCTTTTAACCCTTTATTGCAGGAGGAGTTAGCCCCAAGGTGAGGAATTCCCGCAATGCCTTTTTCCTGAGAAGTCACTCAAGGTTTCCCGCAAGGTTAGCATTTCAAAGCCACACATTAAGAATTGTTCTGGCATTCTTCCCGATAGGTGATGTTTCTATTACAGAAAATTGACAGTGCATTAAATTATGCCTGCGAAGGAGGAAGATGGGATCTGTCACGCATCCTGTATTAAGCCTGGTTTCTTTCTAAGCTTCTCATAGAGATGCTCAGACACTAGCAAAGATATCCAACACCTAATACTTCACAATCCATTTGGCCACGTGTAAAAATAGAATAAAAAAATGGTGTGCCAGCAAAACCCCAGACCTGAGCCCCATATGTGATATTTGTACTTTTCCATGACAGCGGGTGCTCTTGCTTTCTCCAAAAATTACCACGCTTGGATTCCTTTGAAGATAAAACACTCTGGCTGAAATAACGTTTTTTTCTTAAAATTAAGCAACTGCTTGTTTACTTTATATATAACATCCTTGCATAAAACGTATAAAATTGTCAGCCACCATCAAAGTATTTAAAAAGTAATCTGTTTTTCCAAATAAATGCTTGTTATAGGTGGATTGGTTTGTAATGCATAGATATAAGTATATACCCTTTCAGTGGGTATCCAGGCTCACTCTAAATCCATGGGGGCAACCATCATTAACTTTTCTTTGGTCTAACCAACACTTAGTAAACCAGAGACAGCATAGGTAGGCTGCATGTAAATAAAGGTGTTTGGCAGCTCAAAAACGTGCACTTTGTTTTAGGCTTCGTCTGCACATAGCCTTGGAATATACATGTTAAGACCGAACAGGATTAAAGCTGGTCATCCTTAATGAATAGATTACAAAATAATGCACACAGGCTACAATAAATGCAATTTTTAACTTGTATTTAATGAAAGACCAGTTTAATCTGCAATACTTCCATAGTCACATTCTTATCAACAGTATATGTACAGGTGAAATCTCTGTACTTACGTTAATTTAGAGAATATACACACACACACACACACACACACACCACACCACACCACCACCACCGCTGTGGTGGGGGGAAAATGTGTGGATGAAAACCTCTTCCACCTGAAGTAAGTGGATAGTTAATACATTGCTAAACACAAATGCAAACACCAGTCAGGCCATAAGACTTGTTTTTCCCACAGAAATCTCAATTTAACAACCTCCATTGCAAGCCAGTAACCAACCTCATGCTGATGAGTTGCATTAACAACAAAACAGCTGTCTGTGAGTGATTCACTGGCTTTGCTCCGATTCCTGAGTTGTTTCAAAGCTGTTGTATACAGAAGACACATACTCCAAGGAATGATGTATAAAGTGGAATTATAAGGGATAAATGTGGTTGTTTGTTGAGCTCACTTGCATATGCCTACCCAGAATCCCTTGCAGTAGAGAGCACGGTTAAAGTGAGATTTCTGTCAGAAAAGCAAGTCTTATGGCTTGACTGGTGTGTGTATTTGTGTTTAGCAATGTAGTGTGTGTGTGTGTGTGTGTGTGTGTGTATATATATATATATATTCATTTTTACTGTACTTATTGGCCCCCAGTAGCACCCCATTTAAGCAGGTGAGTGCAGCCAGCCCCTTGTATGTATGTATGTATATATGTGTATGTGTATATATATATATATATATATATATATAATCTATTTAAAAGCTATATCAGATTGATCAGTATTGCTTCAGACCTGAGGAAGAGTCGAAAGCGTGTCTCTGAAATATGTTACTTTAATAAAAAAGATATCATTGCATATTGCAATACTCTGGTATTTTGGCATATTTTATATATATATATATATATATATATATATAATGCTTTGTGTGTTGTGAGCATATTTTTATGATCAATATTCACTTTTTTGCTGGCAATGTTGCGATTACAGTACACGGATTTTGCAGAAAATAACTTTTTGGGTGATCGGGCCACTTCTTAGGGTGACATTTTTTGCTCTTTAGAGATTACACTGTCATTTCAACATGGCTTACTTAATAAACTGACCAAATGTTTCCCAGAATCCCTAATATCGTAACTATTGGTTTCTATAAACTCCATTCGAGTCCCTGTTCGTTTGTTACCATGTTACTTAGAGGAGAAGGGGCAGACTTTCAGATAAAATCTGCTGTTGCCATGCCATTGCCAGGGAAATGCTGCAAAGAATAAATTCTAATCACCATCGGACAATTTTCTTACCATCTGTGTGAATAATCTACGTTACAATATTCAACCCTTGTCTGCATAGAAACTGGAATTAAATGAAGGACTTAAAACAGGGCTATAACATGTTAAATGGGATAATCAGGCTAAATGACAGACAGCATGGAGGGTTAGTTTTGGAAATCTCGAGAAACACTCAATACTCCTCTCATTGTCATAGGTCAGTCTGGAACAAGGTACTGTGGAATTTGATTACAGACTTTACTGTTGGGTGTCTGACATTTGTAGAATTCTGGGATATTCATGCAATATTGCCATAGTGATGGATATTGGTTAAAATATCAGGGCTTTAAATTGCATTTGTATAAGCATTCCGAAGGTATTCCGCTAGGTCGAGATAGAATATTCTCTGTATAATGTAGCACAGATTTAGCCAGTGAGCAGCACAGACAAATGACAAGAGGAAGTTATTCCTACCCCTGCCCTAAACTGTGAATTCAGGCCAGAAATGCTCTGCGTTAACTTTCCTTCTAAATAGCACTGTCCTCTTCCAGGTTTTCTTAAAGTACACATCAAGGGCAGAGGAGAACAAAATGGTAACATAGTGAGAGCAATTAAAAAATAATCTCAATAGAGGCAGGTGACAAGGAGGGTAATAATCATTCCGATACAAGGAAAATAGGAAAATAAAGGACAGTACTTCATTAAAGATTGCAGTTTGTCGGTTGTTCACAATTCCTAACTGAATATAAAGCCTTTGGTCAGTTTTGGTCATTGTAAACACCATATCCAATATAGATTATTGTGATTTAGGGCACAAGGACACCTATGGGTTTTTTTTATTCTTTTTTTTTTTTTTTTTGGAAAAAAAAAAAAAACGAAAAACAGGGCTCTCCTGGTACCCAAAGAACTGGCCAATCTGCTGCTGCAGGGACAATGTATATGTCGTTCACAGCAGCTGTACACTGATCAACAACATTAAATCCACCTGTGTAATATCCTGTAGGTGCTGCCAAAACAACTTTGATGGGTTGAGGCAAGGACTCTACAATGTAAATGTGTCCTGTTGTAATTGGCAGCAGATCCTTTAAGTCCTGCGAGTTTCGAGGTGGAGGCTCCATGGATCGGATTTGTTGTTCCAGCACATCCCACAGATAGAGACCTGGGGAATTTAGAGGCCACGGAAACACCTAGAACTCTGCCATGTTCCTTGAACAATTTCTGAACAATTTTTGCAGTGTGGCAGAGCGCATTATTGTGCTGAAAGAAGACTTCCATCAGGGAACACCATTGCTATGAAGCGAAATCTGTGGTCTGCGTCAATCTCTAGGTAGGGGGTATGTGTCAACGTAACAGCCACATGAATGTTATGACCCAAGGTTCTAAGTGGAACATGCCCAGAGCATAATACTGCATACACTGGCTTGCCTTCTTCCCATAGTGCATCCTGTTGCCATCTCTTTCCCAGGTAATTGATGCAAACGCACCTGGCCATCCACCTGATCGTAAAGAAAACGTGATTCATCAAACTGGGCAACCTTCTTCCATTGCTCTATGGTCCAGCTCTGAGGCTCGTGTCACACTGATACCGCCCATGGGCACTCTGACCAGTCTGTGGCTACGCAGCAAACTGCAATGCATTGTGTGCTCTTATCTTTCTTTCATGGCCAGCATTATGTTTTTCAGCAATTTGAGCTACAGTACCTCTTCTGTGCCATCGGACGAGGTAGCCTTTGCTCCCCACATGCATCAATAAGCCTTGGGTGCCCATGACCCTGTTGTTGATTCACCGACTGTCCATCCTTGCATTACTTTTGATAGGTACAAACTACTGTATACCAGAAACACCCTACAAAACTTGCTGGTTTGGAGATGCTGTGACCCAGTTGTAACAATATAATCAATGTTATTCACTTCACCTGTCAGTGGTTTTAATGTTGTGGCTGATCAGTGTTGACAGTCTTAAGGCAGAGCAGTGATTTCACAACTTAACTGCCCTCTGTGATCCTCTGCCTCAGTCAGTCATGCGATTTCTGTCTAGACTGCTTAAATTAAGTAGAATAATCTGGTTTTAATTGTATGAGAACCACCCTAATCTGATTTGATGCATATGTTTTAATTAGGACTTTATTTAAAAGGGAGCAATCACTATTGAAAACGGCATTGTCACCCCCTCTCTGAAACATGAGTATTTCATAAAGAAAGGGACTACTTTGTCTCTGTATATTTCCTTTGCCTGACTTTCTTAGACTCTGGGCAGAACTACAGTGAAAACCTGACAGCCATCACCAATGATGGCTGCAGGGAATTGTCTGTGGTGAATCCTGTGATCTTTAATGCTGAAGAAAAAAAAAATGGACCCCTGACATTCTATGGTTAGCAAGCCTTGAGATGATTCTGATTGCATTGTACAAATGCTAATTTTTTTTTTTTATCTACTCAAGTGGCATAGCTTGACCAGGTGAGAGGTATTCTCTTATATTCTGCGCCCTTGGGTAGCTTTGGAAAGTGGCATATTAAAAGGTATCTTTATTTAGGAAGGACATATTCATTGGAGCTGTAAAATACCCATGTATACCGAGGCACGTGGCTGACAAAGACACCTTGCAATTCTCAACCTGCTAAAGGCAAGTTACGTAAATTCATCATCTCTTATGAAAGAAAAGGGTTGTGTTGGGCATTTGGCAAACTGCCTTTCTCACTTCCTTAAGTTGGCCCTGTTGCCATGGGAATAGCATAGCCAACATTCCTATAGGACCGGTATCCTAGACCAGAAGGTCGGGTAGATCATTGTCGTAGGCAAGGGAGGCATCTTGTTTCTCTCAGCGTCTGCTCTGAATGTATATTGTGTATTTACCGAAGTGGTTTGTCGCAGAACTAAACATAAAGCAATACCTACATTCCATGACTTACTGCTCGCTTTCCATGTTGGCTAAGCATGCTGTGTGTGTGCTTCCGTGGTAGGTATGTTGACTTATGAAATTTGCATGTCCTTTAGTTTTGCACATTTGATTGATATCTGGCTAATGAGTAGAATGCAATTACACAGACAGGGCAGGCCTGCATCCACTATATCGGTGATCCAAATGGTAGATCTCTGAGATGTGCCTATTTCCATGTGGCTTTCATATTAAAGTATAAGTTATACATCAAGAGATCAAGGCTTCCTGCGCTGTATATTTCCGCATTACCCAGATTGTACTCAGCACAGAACACACAACCACCTACAACATATGACACATGATGTTACAATCTGCTTGTATGCTGCATTGAACCATTCAGGTGGGGGAAAGTATTGTATGCTATGGAAGAAAAAAAGAATATTCATTATTTGTACTATTAACCAGGATTCAGCGTTCGACTGTATTTTTGCATTTAGGAAAAGCCAATGTTTTATAGATATTGTGTAAAGAGTTAAAGGGACACTCTAAGTCCCCTAACCAGTACGGTGTATTGTATGGCTTTTTGGTGCAGAAGTGGGTTAACGGTTGTAGTTGCTGGGCTAGAAGTGCCCAGAACATGGAAGATGTATTGGGCTCTGGGCAGCTGCCTCTTTTGCCCATAAATAATGGCAGCCCTCTCTGCAATCTGTTCTGATTTAGGACATAGTCCTTGCAGTGGTCACATGGAATTTTATGTTCTTTTGGTTCTGAGGGCAATAAACTTGCTTAGAGAATCTCTGCAACAATGAGTTAAAGTAGAACTACCTGTGGCAAAGTGATTTATTTCCCCTGTGTAGCTGCTGTGTTTCTCCCCCAGTGATTAGATTTGGAAACTGCCAGTCTGCAGTGTATTCATACTGTTTAATTACTAGTATGGGAAGAAGGAGGTTGGAAGAGGCCATTCTAATTGCTTAACTAACTGTTCAGGGCAAACTTACAATGAGCCTGGGATTCAGCTTATCGGCCCCAGCGGATTTCATGCTGCTCATTGGCTTCTTTGGGCTGATGCAAGAACTGGAAACGTTTTAATGGCAGCCGCGTGGCCATAGCCAAATGTCCCTGATAGGCCCAGTCTTTCCAGTGAATAGATATTGGTGATAGATTAATCTTTTACACAACTCAATATAGGTAATTGTTGGTCGTGTTGTTCAGTTTTATTTATTTTAATTTGTGCCCAAGTGTAAGTAAGGATTTTATGTATTTTATTTTACGGCTCCTGTCACCATTTAGAGGTGTCTTTCAGAGGCCAAAGATGCAACCGAGAACTTTCTGTGCCAGTCATCTTAGCGCAAACGAGACTGCTTTGATTAGATATAGTGAGTCGCAGTGTAGACTGAAATTTCCAGAGGGTTTGTTATTGGTTATCCCATCTTTCTGTGACCCTTCATCTACAGACTGTCATTTCCAGAACGCTGGTTAGAACAACATTATGTTCTTGTACATGGTAGAGTGCAGAAAGGGGGAGCATACATAATGACCCATGTTTAATTAAACCAGCGCCACTAACCTATGGTTATTAACATCTTTGTTATCAGCTATCCATGGTCCTGTGTCCTCAACCACCACTGTTTCAGAGGTACCAAGTCCTCGACTTGCTACTGTCTGTCTGTCCGTCCTCAGTCTTGCATTCATGAACAATAAATCACCAGCAGAAGAGGGGGCTGTCTGCCATGTACGGTCAGTTGGCAAATATAGGAGTCACCCGTCAATGCTACGAGGTCAAAACGTATACTTCAGTGGCCTGCGGAACCTGGGTGTATATATATAAAATGTATATACTTTTGTGGATCTACGGAACCTGGGTATATATAAAATGTATATACTTTTGTGGATCTACGGAACCTGGGTATATATAAAATGTATAAACTGTTGTAGAACTACCTTGAAGCTGGCAAGTCATCATGGGAGCTGTAGTTCTAGAACAGTGATATAGCCATTTTCCCCTCTTTGATGTGTAGTGCATTATTCAGTTACATCCAGGTAATCGGAGGGTTAATTTCTCTTTGTGTTGGAGCAGTGGGCAGTGAGTAGTTCCCCTCTAGCACATTGATGCATTTAGCAATAGAGCTGAATAATACCTTCTGTGCCCCCTCGGGGTTAAATGGGAGGATGCTGTTTCATTGTAATGTAATTTTAAGGCTTCTGTTGTAATGAGTAAGTGAAATGCTAGACCTTTTTGATGCTAAACCTTCAGGCGCATACCTCTCTCTGTTCCAAGTAGCCAAAGAAGGGGCCCTTTTGTTTTATGGGGTGTGGTGAGGGGACACGGGACTATTTCAGGAATTTGGTTCTTTAGAGGAGACTAATTTATTAGCACATTTAAAGCAGTTTTTACACACTTTACCATGTGGTTTATTGCATTCTGGGGTTCTCTTACACCCCACGCACATTACTGGGCTCTTAGAAATAGGCCGCGCTTTGTACAGCGCTGCAGAGTATGTAGGTGCTTTAATACACTGGACAGTTAAGAGCTTCACAGCATCTGATATCTTATTTTGGATAGTGTGTATATGTGTGTATGTATATATATATATATATATGTATATGTATGTATATGTGTATGTATGTATATATATATATATATATATATATATATATATTTCATTTTAAATAACCTCTTGTAAGTTTGAGAAGAAAATGAAGCCACCTTAACACAGTGTTTAAATATTGTATTTGTAAAACACTGATTTCATTGTTCTGAACAAACACATCTGCTGATTGTGTACCTAGTGGCGTGGCCACTCTCGTTGTGTATTTTTTTTTTACAACCGTCCTATCTGTTTCAGTGTAACTTTCAGGGTGTTAGTCTAAAACAGAGGCCTGCTTTTTAATGTAACGGGGCTGTTTTGATTTTGACAAGTTGATTAATAATGATCTAAAGGGATCTTTGGTCTTATTTGTTTAGAGATTTATTTTAAGTAAATGTATGTAACTCTAAGCTTGTCTGAGTAGGGGTGGCATCACCTCTTCTTCCTGTATGTCAAAACTCTTGTTGCAATCAATTGTTATAAGCATTCCTCTTGACCCGTTGTTCTGCACTTCCGCATACGTTACCCCTTTTATTATGAAATCATAAACTCTGCTAAGTGTAATCATAGAAAATTGGAATAGAAGGGATTTGGCTGGAATAGAGCCACCCCGTTTTTAAATTAAAACCCAGGGAGTTCAGTAAATGAGGGATGTGCTGGATTACTGAGGCTGATTAACAGGATTAAGGGGGAGAGATGAGATTTGGGGCGTGGGGTGGTGGTGGGGAGTTCTTGTACTATTTTTTTTTTTATTTGTTTCTCAGTTTAACATACTGTATGATGAACACAGAATAGGATTTGTACGTTTCCTGTAGTGAGGCTGCATGAAGTTACAATTGGCGAAGATCTGTTTAATCCCTTTAAGAAGGCCGTGCTGTTTTCCCCTCTGCTGTTTTAAGGGATAGTCTGCAGTACAGTAACCATTTGTGCAAATGATTGCAAACCTTCTCACTCAGTCTGCCAAATGGCTGGCTGTGCATCCTGGGAAATGTATTACTCCATCCTTTCTTGGTCAGTAAACTGAATACCGTTAGTTGGGCAATTACTTGTAGCCCCATGCAAAGCTAAATATTCTTTCCCTAGTTAAATACTCCTATATTATGACATGGATTTCCTTGGATTTAAAGGTTTATATTTGGCGCACGTAACCTTTTCCAAGGGATGTTTAATATCCTGATCGCCTCTCGGTGTGTAAACAGCCGAGGATTGTTAGGAGGGCCTGCATCCTGTGAGATTTAAAGAATGGTGCAGTTTGTACATGAACAATTTAACAAACAAATCCTTAAACTAGCAAGAGTGTTAAAATGTTTTCCTGCTACTGGAACCTGCTTTCTACGGAAAGAAAGGGAACCATTACAGTGTGACCCCTAAACACAGACTTCTGATCGTTTATACCCCCATTTCATTTCAGCGTTCTGATTGCCTTGTCATTGCCATCTACAAAATGAGTAATCTCCTTTCACATAAAAGGACATTTAAATCTGAAATGAAAACCTAGTATTCACTCCTGTTACATTTTTTAAATATAATTTATCTTACTTTTGTAATTTATGAAAACTCACGTGGCATGACAGATTGCCCTTCCCGTGATTTTGGGCTACAATGAAATTGTCACAGCATGCACCGATTCTTATATTTTTAAATAAAACTGTCTCTCCCCACCACATATCCACTTAAACAAGCAAATACATGGAGAATGTAGATCAGAATCACTGGAATAATTTTGTATTAAATTCTCTATATGTACATCAGTTATGTGAGAGTAATAATTTTGTATTTAAGAAAGAAATGTGGTTAAAAATGAAAAGCATACATGAAAATTGTAATGACTGACGTGTAATGATTAATTTCATGTCTGAGATTTGAAAAATATTAGCAAAAACAACTGTTTTCAATCAGGATTTTTCTCTCTGAAGAAAATTAAAACGGTTTATTTTTTTCATCTCTGAGTAATGTATTGGTAAAGACGTCTTTCAGTTTAATATGAGCTGTGATGCCTGTATTGGGCCGTATTAGGGAGTCTGTGTTGTCTGTTTGCAAATTGGGCAATTTTATCTCTAAAGACCCAGCGACATGGATTGCAAGCTCTATTTCCAGTGACCTTTTGTTTTGTTTTTATAAGTGCATTTCTCAATGTTAAGGGTTCGGGATCCAAGCTTGGCTATGTGAAAAGTGGGGGTTGGGAAAGCCGATAGGAATGGCATGGCATCTGCATAAGTGAACACTGCACAGGAGGGGATAGAAGGATGTATTGTTCCTTAACTCTATTTCTGCTGGAACAGATGGGAAGCGAAGGGGTCCTTGCTGCATGAGATTAAGAACTGGACAGGGGCGCTCATGGCTGATTTGAGGTTAACAGGACTGGAAAGAAACTCATGGCTTTTTGCACAAGGTGTCTCGGGTGAGGAGCAGATGGTAAGGAGAGGCGTCACTCAGCTTACTCAGCTGCTCAGGGAAGCTTAGAGGCCTCCTCCGGCATAAACAAGTCGACCAGCATCTTGTGAGTTTAATGCAGAGTAATGGACAAGCTCGCTGTATAAAATCTCCCCCTTTCAGCTCCTATATCGCCATCTGATGGCTCACAGGTTAGCAGTTTGACAGCAATCTACTGGGCCAACCTTACAGTATGAAATAATCTTGCCACAATTAGTCTATCTCAGACTGTTTTAATAAAAACTCTTAATAGATGTAATCAGCGTTGGTGTTATCCAAAAGAGCACAACGATTTGTGTGACTGCTACTTTTCATACAAAAAAGGCCTGCACATACACTTTACAAAGAAGCTGGCTGGGGTGGCCAGAGGTAAATCCTAACCCGAATTATGCTTAATGTTATGCTTTAGTAGCCCAATCAGAGATGTAACTCCACAACTTTTAGAGATCTACTTTTTGCCACCTTTGTCTTGGGGCCTTTCGAACAACTTTCCAGATAAGAAATGAGACTCACCAAAGGTTTTAACCTGGCAGATCCCCCTCCACCAACCTTATCGGGTTTCTATGCTTGGCCTGCTCTGCTACCGTTGTCATCAAAAAATTGCTTTGAAGTAAAGTAAAGTACACGTTTTCATGGGATGAACTGATCTAAAGGCATCTCTATATGTTCTTTAGTCTAATCTCAGAATGAAAGCCTGAAATTGATTAATTTCTCCCAAAGCCTCCAGCTAGTTTCAAGGGATGCCAAACAGAAAGCTTTTGTCAGAGCTTTGCCTGAAGGAAGGACAGAAGCGAATGGCCTCTTTAGGCCCAGTGGTTTGCTTGGATTTTGGGTTTATCTTGTTTAATTATTCTATTGCAAAATATTTAAGCTTTAAATTGACTCATACAGCAGGATAAAGCTGGTAACTAGGAAGCAGCATGTCCTTGATTATGCAAAACAAAAAACGGTCATTAATTACTGCAGTTGCCCAGAGGTTTTAGGTCATTTACCTTCCCAACATAATTGACAGGGTTTTATGAGTACACAGATGGTAATATGTACAGAGGGCGTATAGAGACCAGGACAGGAGTTGGCTAGCTTGGGTCCTGCAGCCTAATTTACCCAACTCTTATGATCCTCAGGCAAGAGATCATATGAGGATCCCGGCTTTCTGCAACTAGTCATGGGCTTTCGTTCTGAAAAAAATATTTACTATTGTTGGTAACTTTACAAACAATAATCACTATAACCACTGTGGCAAAGTCAAATTATTTAAGGAGTGGTGTCCTTGTAAAAATCACACAATCAGCTTGGGACTTCATATGAGGAACCGTACACATTACTACAGCAAATTGTGAATTAATTTATTTAGCTGCCCATATAGACCGTAAGCTGTAGTGGTTATGGTGCTTGGCGCATTGCTCAAATCTCAGTCTCTTTACCAACGTTGGTTGAGGGCGATTTTGTTTCATCAGGCCAATTCAGTGGTATTCCCGCACGTATGCCCAGATTTCTTATCTTCTATCTTATTATATATTTCATGCAGTAAATGCTGCTGTAAGTTACAGTACAGAGTCTTAGTGACGTATCTGATGATATCCTCCCAGGATTTATACTAAGGATGGCTAATCGTGGTGCTTCGTTTCTCATCATGCTCTCACAACCTTTTATTAAGAAAGGGCATTTCCACAAAAACATCATCCGAGGGGAGTGAAACTCATTGTGGTGGGTGACGATTTCATGTGGTATTTGGAGACTAGGAAAATCCAAAACAGGCTTGCTCCCTTTCCCCACGGTTATTGCTGGGAATGCTGACATTCTTTCTATGTCTCTCCAAAATGTAGGCAACTGATATGTTTAGTTAATGCTTCTTAATTAAGCTCTGACCGGAGTCTGAACTGAATGTGTATATCCAATCCATTGCACGCTGTGTGTAGTCTGTGACTCAGGACATATTCTAGGCTCTGTGTAAACAGAGGATCCTCACCGACTATATCTTCCAGACCTCTAACTAGGTAACAGCCCAAAACACCACTTCCGTTGGTGAGACGACTGTATTTACTAAACTATGGGTGATGTTTATATGACTGGGCGATAAACGTAGCCCAAAATAGTGGAGTATGAACAAGTCTAAACTTTTTTAATTGGTCATTCATTAGCATAGAAAATAAATCAATAAAAATGATTAAAGTGTCATCAGAACTTTTGAATCATTATTTTTTTTTAAATTTTATTATTTATATAGCGCCAGCAAAATTCCATAGCTCTATACGATGGGTAGACTAACGCACGTAATTGTAACCAGACAAATGGACGCACAGGAACAGAGGGGTTACATGCTCATGGTTTTATTTTTGTAATGTTTTTAAAATGTCAGATAACTGTACCCATCTATATGGGAAGTTCATTAAGTAAACACGTTTGCTCTCCGACACAAAGTCTAATAAGGGGCAATTGGCCTGGATGTAATACTTCAATAAGCTTTTTTAAATATTAATTTGTTATTAATATAGTGGTATAATTGATCTATGTAGGCTTTCAATATATTATTCTGCACAATCCCATATAACTTGCTTGCATTTGGTAGCTAAGTAGTCAAAGTGTTAATGGAAGGCTGCTATTAGTCTGTTCAGTATCCGCATTGAATGGGAATCAGAGAATGGCCTGTATTACGCTGCCTTACTCAGCCATAAACCCATGGCTAAATGATATACAGGCCTTTCTTCTTCCCTACTGACAGATTTATTTAATATCCGCCTTGTGTTTCCATTGAGATTTCAGATGGGGAAGAGGCAAAGGCTCATTCAGTATTAGAAAGGATTTCAAACATGAAAGATTTCTAGCCTTGCCGAAAAGCATTTGATTTTGACTTCTTGTGGCCACAGACCAGAATGGGGAACTCTTTACCATGTGTTCTTTGTATCTGATTACTTCATTGCCAAATGGTATCACTTACTCTCACATTGATCATTTCTTCAAAACATATTGTAGTTAGCAGTATGTTAAGATGTGCATGCTGCACTGCTATGCATGGTAACCGGGCTCAGAGAACCTGGCCAGGATAGGCCAAGGCCCCCGGGCTTTGCACCAGGCAGGCGAATGGCTCATTGCTGTGTTCATCTCCATCGGAGATGGGGTTATGCAAAATTCGTTTTGCCTTTAGGCAGCTTCTAAATATAGTACTTCGGTGTACTCCTTGCTAACCGCCACAGCTGGGATACATAGTCTGTCATTTGGAAAAACTAAAATGGGGCTTGGAGCCTGTTTTCCTGCATGCATTTACTGTATATCATTATATATGGATCGTTCTCACAAAGTATTTGCTACACTGGGGTATATTTACTCCATCACCCATGACTATACATGGAAAATCAAGTCTTCTACTATTTTATTACACGTTCTTTTCTCTAAGAGGCAGAATGGCCTATACGATGCTGTGTACTAAATCTTTATTTACAAGGACAGTAACACTGATCTACACCAACTGTAATACTTGTACTGGACCTGTGCCTTTCTATCCAAGACCTGTAATATATCGCTTACACAAAGATATTAAATGTCCAAATCTAATGTTAAGACACTGCCCCTGCAGTGTTATTTTTATGGCCTGGATTTGCTGTTTTTTTGTGAAAGCCAATCCCAGTGCTAAACGTATTAACTTGTCATTAACCTGTGATTGAGTTGTCTTCCTTTTGCCATTCTAGTAATTTCATTGGACACGTTTTGAAGCAAGATAATACAGCTTTAGCCGTATTAACATGATAACTCCCCTTCCAGTATCACAGAACATAGGAATGCTTTGTGTTAAACAGATCTATTTTGTTTTAACCCTGTTCTGTTGTGAGCATGCTTGGAGCACTCCAATGTTCTTTATATTCTACATGTGTATATAATATTACAGCATTATCAACCACCTTTTTGGGGTGGAGGCACTGTAGCAGCACGTTAGAACCTTCATTGGTACAGGGACATTTTCCCAGGGTTTTGTGGGTAATCTGATCCTTTGGAAAGACATCATCTGAGATTGGTGTTTTTATATTTACCTTTAACTATGTACAAACTAGCTGGCGTGCGTTAGCTGGGGAAGAAAGGGTGTGACGCTGGCGTTATTGGCAACTAAATGTGGAAGCAGTTTGAGTGTTTGGCCCTTCATCTCCACTTTTACGGGTAGTCTGGGCAGCATGCGTTGTGTTATCCACCCGAAGTGTTGCCAGATGCTTGTTACAAGCATGTTCCCCCTTCTTATTCCATTTTGATTTGTTAAACAGCTTTCTTAGTCTATGGGAAGTAGCGATGTTCTGAGTAATGTGAGCCCTCTGTAATCTGAGCTTATCTATTGGTCACGAGATGACCTACGAGTCACACTAGCCAATAGGAAGCTTTTTTCTGACGCAGAATCTCATCAAGAGAGGGAATGTTAACCTTTTTCAATTTAGATACTCCTCACCCGTTAACATAAGGAAATGATGATTGGTCTTTATCTCCTAGATCAGGGGTAGGCAACCTTCAGCACTCCAAATGTTGTGGACTACATCCACCATAATGCTCTTACACCCATAATGCTGGCAAAGCATCATGTGAGGTGTAGTCCAAAACATCTGCAGTGCCGAAGGTTGCCTATGCCGGTCCTAGATATAAACAGAAAGCAGTAGGAGGGCATTATTGCAGTGAAGCAGTAGGTGGGGCAGTATTGCAGTGAAGCAGTAGGTGGGGCAGTATTGCAGTGAAGCAGTAGGAGGGCATTATTGCAGTGAAGCAGTAGGTGGGGCATTATTGCAGTGAAGCAGTAGGTGGGGCATTATTGCAGTGAAGCAGTAGGTGGGGCATTATTGCAGTGAAGCAGTAGGTGGGCGGTGTTGCAGTGAAGCAGTAGGTGGGCGGTGTTGCAGTGAAGCAGTAGGTGGGCGGTGTTGCAGTGAAGCAGTAGGTGGGCGGTGTTGCAGTGAAGCAGTAGGTGGGCGGTGTTGCAGTGAGGTGCAGTTAGGTGGGCGGTGTAGCAGTGAGGTGCAGTTAGGTGGGCAGTTTTTCAGTGAAGCAATGGGTGGATATATTACAGTGCACTGATGGAGTAGGTTCCCAATGTTGCAGTGCAGTGAACCAGAAGGTGGGCAGTATTGCTATGATGTGCAGTTAGGTGGGCGGTGTAGCAATGAGGTGCAGTTAGGTGGGCGGTGTTGCAGTTAGGTGGGCAGTTTTTCAGTGGGATGCTCTGTGTGTGTCTGCGTATTGGCAATCTCATTACTGGGCAGATTTGCTCCCATGCATTGTGGCAGCCAGTTTGGGGGTAAGTGCGGGATGTTTAGTGATATGTTTTCATTTTTACATTTAAGTTAGTATTGTGTATCGATTAAATGAATATACCTACCTACCTTGTAAACATCCTGTAACTTGTCTAACCAAATCCTTAACATTTTATATCGTGAAATATTCACAAATACACCAGTTTAGATCTAATGACTCCAGGTAGCTGAATAAAGAATATTTGCCCTTATGGTTTGGACAGTATGAGAAAACACAGAGTAAAAGGGGGGATTCTTTGTGCTGAGTTGTGATTTACTATTAATTCTGTTTATAGTATCCGTTTGTATTAAGCCTTCTGTTTTTTTTGGGTTTTTTTTGCAGGCTTCCATTTAAGCGGCACTGTCATGGAACCTGCGACTCAGTCAGAGCCGGAAGTCACCTACAAAGTCGCCATAAGTTTTGATCGTTGCAAGATCACCTCAGTGACCTGTGGTTGTGGTAATAGAGATATTTTCTACTGTGCCCATGTTGTAGCGCTCTCGCTGTATCGCATCCGCAAGCCGGACCAGGTGAAACTGCGTCTTCCTATCTCAGAGACCCTCTTCCAGATGAATCGGGACCAGCTACAAAAGTTTGTGCAGTACCTGATTACTGCACATCACACAGAAGTGCTTCCTACAGCCCAGAAGTTGGCTGACGAGATTCTATCCTCCAACTCTGAAATAAACCAAGTGCACGGTAATTTTCCTATTCAGCTGATCAACGTAGCCTCTTCATGCTATGTACTTTATTTCAAATCACATTTTAGAATGTTTATTTTTGGTCGTACAGCAAATTATTTAAATTGACTTGGTCTTTTAAAGCTTTTCAATATAAAATCTTTATAAAAAGTTTAAAATGGGTTTAAGTGAAATTGTGCTTCCAACGCTGTCAAAAGATATAAGACAAAGTAAGGGCCTACAGACATCAGGTTTTGCTACTTCCCACAGGTGTCACTAACATTGCGAGATAATATCCAGTCTCATGGGATTCTTAGACATTAGTGTTGTACTCTCGTGCATGTACGATAGTACAGTATTCTTGTGGGCTCCTGGAGGATGTTTGCCAGGAGCTGAAGAACAAAGATGGTGGCCGTGGCTTCTACAATGTTGCCTTGGGGAGTGGTGCAGACTCCACAAGGTGACAGAGTGACTTTAAAGACCTGCTTATGTGAGTTTACATGCGTGTAGCATAGCTAAATTTAAGGCACAACCCTATTTTCCATTCCTCTTGCCTGCTTTACCAGTCATGCTTTCTGTGTAAATAAAATTCAAAGTGGCGGCTCATTTCAGGAAGCTGATGTTTATTAGTCTGACAGTGTACATTCTAGGCTTTTAGAGTGATATTCTCACTCACAGACTGACTGCTTTTCCTTGAGCAAAATTTCTAATCCTGACATTTTGCACATGAAGTTATAAATCAGTATGTTTTGTGTGTGGATTAAGCGGTTACATATAGTGTACTTTATTATGTGCTTTTACCAGCCCAGAAGATACTGAGATAGCGATGTAAACAAAAATCCATTAAAACAACCCCTTTTCTCTCTACCATTCTCCACACAATGTATCTTATTTGATGGTGTTGAAGCAGCTGCTCAGGTGTTGCCTATCCACGATGTGCATCATTAAAAATGTCATATTTGTCAGTTTTTGTAAATGTTTGATTCTTTGTCTTTCCCGTTTAGGAGCACCTGATCCCACCGCAGGAGCAAGTATCAATGATGAGAATTGCTGGCATCTGGATGAGGAGCAGGTCAGAGAGCAAGTGAAATTATTCCTGTCTCAGGGAGGTTATTATAGCTCTGGGAAGCAGCTTAACTCCATGTTTGCCAAGGTGAGATTTTGTGTGTGTGTTTGTGTGTGTCAGGACTCAATATTTTCGTTAGCAATTGGTGAGAGAGCTAGATTTCAGTAAGGCTTTTGACACTGTTGCACATAGAAGGCTTATCAGTAAACTGCAATCTTTAAGTCTGGATTCCAATATTGTTGAATGGGTAAGGCAGTGGCTGAGTGACAGGCAACAGAGGGTTGTAGTCAGTGGAGTATATTCAAAGCTTGGGCTTGTCCCCAGTGGGGACCCATTCTCTTTAATATTTTTATAAGATATGTAACAGGGTTGATGTTCCATGAGGAAAAAGCCAAATGGCAAATGATTTAGGTAAACTAGAAAAGCGGTCAGAGTTGTGGCAACTGACATTTAATGTGGATAAGTGCAAGATAATGCATCTTGGATGTAAAAGCCAGAGGGCAGAGTACAGAATATTTGATAGTCCTAATAGTCGCATCTTAAATTAAGGGATTTAGGGGTTATTATTTCTGATAACTTAAAGGTAGACAGACAATGTAATAGAGCAGCAGGAAATGATAGCAGAATGCTTGGTTGTATAGGGAGAGGTATTAGCAGTGGGAAATGCTCATGCCATTGTACATAACACTGGTGAGACCTTACTTGGAGTATTGTATGTAGTACTGGAGGCCGTATCTCCAGAAGGGTATTGATACTTTAGAGAGCGTTCAGAGAAGGGCTACTAAACTGGTTCATGGATTGCGGGATAAAACTTACCAGGAAAGGTTAAAGGAACTTAACATGTATAGCTTGGAGGAAAGATGAGACAGGGGGGACATGATAGAAACATTTAAATACATAAAGGGAATCAACACAATAAAGGAGACTATATTTAAAAGAAGAAAAACTACCACAATAAGAGGACAATAGTCTTAAATTAGAGGGGCAAAGGTTTAAAATAATATCAGGAAATATTACTTTACTGAGAGGGTAGTGGATGCATGGAATAGCCTTCCAGCTGAAGTGGTAGAGGTTAACACAGTAAAGGAGTTTAAGCATGCGTGGGATAGGCATAAGGCTATCCTAACTATAAGATAAGGCCCAGGGACTAATGAAAGTATTTAGAAAATTCGGCAGTTTAGATGGGCCGAATGGTTCTTATCTGCCGTCACATTCTATGGTTCTATGAGCGAAAATGTATTCCTTAGCAGAACTTTACCCATGAAGGGTCAACTATGCAGTGCCGAGTAACTTTTAAAGCCCGACTAGTAGCATAACACTTCAATGTTAAGACTGCTGTATATTATAAAGTGCCAAAATATTCCATAGTGATGTACAATGGGTAAAATAAGCTTCTGATGAACTAATCGTGCAGAGTATTGAAAATGCTTTGCTATGGGGATTTTCAGCGTGAGGACATCCAGCGACGCTATAGCACAGAAAACCTGTGCTATGAATCAGGAAGTGCCCACTAGAGGAGGAGTTAACCCTGCAAGGTAATAATTGCAGTTTATAAAAACTGCAATAATTACAATTGCAGGGTTAAGGGTAGTGGAAGTTGGTACCCAGACCACTCCAATGGGCAGAAGTGGTCTGGGTGCCTGGCGTGTCCCTTTAAGTATAACTATCCTATACCTGCCCGCAAGCTTTTAAGTAAATGTTAAGTGAATGTAGAATTGCAAACTTTCCTCAGGTACGGGAGATGCTGCGCATGAGAGACTCCAATGGCGCCCGAATGCTGACCTTGATCACAGAGCAATTTATGGCCGACCCTCGGTTGGCCCTGTGGAGGCAGCAGGGAACCAGCATGACTGATAAATGTCGGCAGCTCTGGGATGAGCTAGGTGAGTGGATGTGAATCTTGTACCCAGAATTAACAGGGCTTACTGAAAGTATATTTGAAACACCAAAATGGAAACTGTAGCTTATAAAGGTTACTGGACTCAAGTTGCAATGAAAATACCGTTATTTGCATCTCTTGCATGCAATTGAGCATCCGTTTAGCTCTTGACAGGTTAATTTGTTTTTGAAATCTTTTTTTGTACATGCAGATTATACTTTCACTGGAGGCATTCTTTGATTATTATTAATAGGTATTAGAATTATAAGATACTTTAGAAGCATTATGACACTTGCATCACCTGCCTCTTGGGCTTTGCTTCTGTCAGGGTTACTGTCTCAAAGGATGGCGTTTACCCTCTTGTGTTAATCTAGTAGCTAATATTGCGCCTCATTAAGTAATTAATTATTTCTATCTACTAATAGCCATACATAATATTGCGGAGTGCACTGTAGATTCATAGTTGAGGATTATGTGTCACACAGCTGGCCAGCAAGCAAGTAACAGTGGACAACTGGCTGCGGGTTGCACAAATAATTTGCAAACAAAACTTGTTTTCAGTGTGACACCCCATCTTCCTGTGCACACGATTTTATAACTGTGTTATGATTGTCCCATGCAGGGGCCCTGTGGGTCTGCATCGTGCTGAACCCTCACTGCAAACACGATGAGAAAGCCAGCTGGCTCCGGCAGCTCAAGAAGTGGGGCGACATGGACGTGTGTCCATTGGAAGATGGCAATTATGGCAACGATCTTCCGAATATCACCAATGCGCTCCCTCAAAGCAATGGCTATGGTAAGTTAGCTGTGGCAGTATCTGGGTGCTGAAGGAGGAGAGAGTGCTTCAAAAAACAGAATAAACACCCAAACTTTCAACAACAGTTAACAGAGGAATACGTTTTGTGGTATTGGCAGTATATTACAGATGGAATTGATTTTGTCAGTTTGCATTACTCATCGTTGCTGACAAATGTTGGCACTCTGGCTGCCACAATCGAGCTTTCACCGCGTTGTCTGACATTGACTGGCAAACCTTTATTTTGTTTTTGAGTGCCGAGGAGCTTTTAAACTTGTTGACTTTATGATGAACCTATGATTGAGGGCTTACTTGTCATCATTGATGCTGTCTTTTTCATCTTTTGATAACGTGTAACAGTTATTTGAGCATTTCGTCTTGATGAACCTCTTCAAATTTTTATTTTGACCTGTGGAGTCTCCCCCTCCTCCTGATCATTTGATGAGCTGTATAAATCAGGCTGGGTCTCTGTTAGGTGCACTTGTCCTGATTGCCCTGCATGCTATGCTCCTCCTAGGAGGACAGAAGCTTGATTAAAGCTCTGTATTTACCCCCCTGCAGCAATGACACAATGGTGCTCTGTTTTGCAAAGACAAACAGTTTAACCCCTTGAGTGTATCTATGCTTTTAGGCATTGCACAAGCCTGTGTCACTGAATAGGTTAAACATTTCATTAGGTATTTTTTTCTTTCCAAGAGTTTTTCTGAATTGTCCTTTATGCTGAGCTCAAGAATTCCTTTAACTTCTCTTGGAGAATTAAAAATGTACCTTCCTTTGTATTTATAGGACAGTAAGCCATGCAAGCAAAACCCAGAATCCATAACTAAAGAGGCATGAAAGTATTACAAAGGGGGTCTAGGTCTATTTGCATGCCAGATTATGTAATTTCTGGTTGAAAATGTTTCCAATGTATTTTATTAGCAAAGACACTTTAAGCAAGTTTTATTCCCCCTCTCCTTTTAGATTCTTTAGTGCGGCCTCGAAGGACTGTTTTCACACGGGCGATTGAGGGCTGTGACCTTCACTGGCAGGACAGTCACTTGCAGAGAATAATAAGCAGTGACTTCTACGTTTCCCCTTCCTACCAGAGGGATGGTGAGAGCCTCCTTTTCAATGCTCAAGGCCAGCCGCTGTGGCTAGGTATGTTCCATGTGATGTGAATGTAGTATGTGTACATGTAATGTTAAATCTTCGTTAGTGCACGGGATAAATGTAACCGATGTATAGATTTTTAATGTACTTTATGAACTGTTGTTCCTTTACCCATTTCTGTCACTTCTACAGCATATTCTGCATAGACCATCTTCCAAAAAACTGAGTGATGGGGAAAGTAGGAGAACCCTCCTATAGGTGATTCTCCTGCTCTGTCACATATATTTCCCCAGCAAGCGTGAGAAACACTTTCTTTGCTGATCTAGGAATGAGTTGAGTAATGTGCTAGCAGTGAATCCACTATGTCAGCATTATCAGATAGGAATGCCCTGTTTGAGAATGGGCCAATCATTCTGCAGAGCGGGAGGGTTTGTGTTACTTTGTGAAACACCCATGGACCCTTCAGGAATAGCGGTGCCAGAGTAAGGGGCAGCAAGTAGGCAAGTCTAGAACAAATCCTAAAGCAATAAAATGGTTTTTGATAAATATTTGTTGCTTTATAAACTCCTGTGATAAACCATCTCTTCTTCTGCATGTTATATCTTTAGAACACGTGCCCACAGCATGTGCAAGAGTGGACGCCCTGCGATCTCATGGTTACCCCAAAGAAGCGTTGCGTTTAGCAGTTGCCATTATAAGCACCCTAAGGCTACAGCAACAGCGACAGCTGGAGATATACAAGCAACAAAAAAAAGGTACTTTTCAAAACAGTTGCTTTTTGTAGTGTTTCATTTATGACCTTCATTTTTTAATATATTGTTTTGACTGCCTGTAAATGACAGGCCCTTTTTGATGTGACTGACCTTAAGTAGCCAGTGGGTTATGGGCCATATGGCTCAGTATTTCACGCAACATAAAAATGGTGAAAATTTTTGGTAAGAAAATTGAAAATAACATACAGGGAACTTCTGATCTCATCATGACACTGAATCTGACAGAAGTGGAAATTAGTTTTGTGGAGGGGTGGGGGGGTTGTGTCTAAAATATGCAAAGGACAAATTAGATGTCACATTACTGTGAAAAACAAGTCATTCATCTGTTGCATGTGACAATTGTGATCATTTCTGTAACATGTGGACAACCCTAAATGGAGAGACGGAGCAATCCCAGAATTCCCTGCAACCTCTCTTCTTCCTGCTCCTTCCATTGGACATTCCCAGTAATTATTCGGCCTCCTTCGGAGTAGGTTGAAACATTTGAAGCTCTTTAAGAGCTGCTGTAAACTGATTACATAGTTTTGGAGCATTTCTAATGATTCTAATGACCTTTCATTCTTGTAGAGCTGATCCAGAGAAATTCCACTACAATCACTAATCTAGAGGGTTGGGTGGGACACCCTTTGGATCCCATCGGCTGCTTGTTCACTACTCTCACAGAGGCCTGCCGAGCAGACGAAGAAAATGCAATGGAAGCATCCGGTAAGAACAAATTCATTTTTGCAAAGAATATATTCACCAATGTTTAGAGCCACCTCGCTGTCATGTACCTTTCTTAGTATAGCCTGTGTATAAATCAGCAGAATTTAAAAGCTGACACTAATTGAATATAATACAAATAATCCTGCATTGAAATAAGCTCATGTTCTTGGCACTTACACTATATCGTTAAATAGTTACTGTAAGCACTGAATACAGAAGTAGTGTTTATTTTGCTATTCGGCTGCAGGACTATGTCCCCTGGTTTAAAGTCAGACTGTTTTTGAGCTGTTTGCCAAAACTAAGGGTTCCCTTTAGCATTAGCAATGGCAGAAGTTTTATCCGGGTAATTTCTTTCCTTTTCACTCAGAGATTAGCGAGTCTCAGCATCCGATCTATCAACATGTCTGTGTACCAAACTCCTCCCCAGAGAATGGTGAATCCTATCTGGCCCTGGCATTGGAGGTAGCTTTAATGGGCATGGGCCAGCAGCGACTGATGCCCGAAGGACTCTATGCCCAGGACAAAGTGTGTCGCAATGAGGAGCAAATCATTGGCAGGCTGCAAGAGCTTGACCTAGATGCTGTGCTGGTGCAGACGCTTCGCAAGCAATGCATTCTTCTCCTGGAAGGTAAGGCGGTTACATGCATAAAACCAATGTATCTTAGTTCTAGATAACGTGTTTGTTACCATAACTCCAATGATTTAGTTTAGGTGTGAGGTAAACGTTAACTCACTTTTATATATTTTGCAGCAAAGCTTATGTTTGTCAAACGTTCACTCTGTTGGAAAGACCATGCTGAGAGAAAGAAATGCAAAAGATGTTTATTGTAATTAAGGAAATGGAGTTTTGTTGTCTGATTTGATGTTTCCTGTATTCTAGGTGGTCCCTTCAGTGGTCTGGGAGAGGTCATACACCGAGAGAGTGTACCAATGCACATGTTTGCCAAATACCTATTCTCTGCTCTGCTGCCTCACGATGCAGACCTGGCCTATAAACTATCACTGCGAGCAATGAGGTGCGTATTGGTATGAATACAGAGCTCAACTCTGGATAGAAAGCGGCATTGTTTGCAGTCAGTTCAGATATACGGAACTAGAACAGGCTCAGACTTTTCACTTCTTTAAAGATTATAGCCCCAAGCTTGGTAGGCAACATTTTCATTAACAACACATACATAGGTAGACATACACGGCAAACAATCAAACAAACATGCACAGTCAGGCATTCATACAAACATGCACACGGATACATTTATACTAACAAAACTAAAATGTTACCATTGGTGTAGCAAACTGTTCCTGTATATTTTGGGCTTCCTTTCCACTCCCAAGCTTTGTATTCAGGCAGCACATTAGAAGGTTGTGACAACATTTCATGTCCACTGGGCATCGTCAATCAGTTTGATGTAAGGGAGTGAGTGGAGAATGTTCTATCTACCTCTACCTGCTCTCTTGGAGTCTTTGGGGAACTGTCAGTGAGATATTTTTCCTCTCTTCCAACTGTTTTCCAAGTAGTCTTCTATCTGAAGTTAGTGTTATTAATGTTTGTGCTGTGAAATTGTATTGTAACATGTACCCTACTGATCTCAGACTATTTTTATTTGTTACTGTCCCAGGCTTCCCTTGTTGGAGAGCAATGCGCCCTCCGGAGATGGGTCACATCCACATCATATAGTGTCTGTGGTACCCAGCCGCTACCCTCGCTGGTTTACTTTAGGACAGCTGGAATCACAGCAGTGTGACCTGGCTTCCACCATGCTGACTGCAGCAAAAGGTGAGAGTAAGGGTTTTATCATTCTAGGACAACTGAACTAGCAATGCCCTCTACATTCTGTAACAATCTCGTTTATCTTAAACGTGGACTGTCCATCCTATTGCAGTGCTGCTAATTTCCTGCAAGCATCGTGGTAGCAAAGTGGAGCTCATAACATGGAGTCCTGATATTTTTATTTTATGCCTCTCGCTGTAAACTTCTGTTACTGCACTCTGCTCTGGAGAAGACATGATGACCAGAGGGAATTAATATTAACAGCTGTCCTCTTACTTGCACCATGCGTCGTTGTGTGTCACGCATGTCATTTGAGGGCTTTTATGTGCATGCACAAAGCAATTTTCATTTCATTTTGCAGTTATCTTTAAGGAGATATATGTGAGCTTCACATCTCTTCTCACTGATACATTTGCTGGAATCTCTATAGATAATGTGTGTGCTTTCCTGAAGATGACCGAAATTCACGTTTTCTTGGATGATCGAGTCTATTTAAAATGCATGTATTTATCATTGCTAATGTTTCTCACTATGCATCGTAATAAATGTCAGGAAAGTGGTTTGTTTTTCCATCTAGTACCACTGTTACATTCTCTGGTTGTTCCCCTTTAGTAATGATCTTAGGTCATCTCACACTGAGTGGTGTCTTTTCCTTGGTTGGTTTAACAGATTATGTTCTCACTGTGCTTTGTACATCACACAGGTGACATGCTGCGTCTTCGCACGGTGCTTGAAGCCATTCAGAGGAATATCCACTCGTCCTCCCTTATCTTTAAGCTGGCACAGGATGCCTTTAAAATTGCCACTCCAGCAGACAACAGCCCTGACACCACTCTGCTCAATGTCGCACTGGAACTTGGCCTGCAGGTGAGATCACACACACAGGGTCTGTTAGTAAATCTGCTGCTTTGGGAGTGTTCTTATCCTATTCTTCTCAAGAATTGTGGGAATGCGTGTCTGGGTGTCACTGAGAAGAGCTGTCGGTTACAATGTGCAGTATGACTTTGCTTGCGGAGTGTGACTTCACCCACTCAGCCGTACAGAATTTAATGGAACACTCCAAGTGTCCTGGCTTTATTCTGTAGCTGGCTGTAATGGTTGTGGTGTGTGGAGTGTTCCTTTAAAACCACCTGGAAACAAGCTGAAATAACAGACCAATCATATAAAATTTACATGCATACAAAGGCTGCTTGTTCATGAAAATACCACCCCTGTTAGGCACTCACCTATCACCGGGCACATGCCTCACAGTACAGGGAGTGTACAGGAAGTCAGTCTGTGTCAATCACATCACTGGTTTTCAGCTAAAAAAATAATTATGTAATAGTTTTTTTGCATTTCCTCTTGAAATCCACATCCTGTGACCTCAATACCTGTTGAAGCTACAGCAGGAAGTAAAAAGGAAATTGCTATTTTCTTCAATGGAGCAAGCAGCATGGCTGTGAGTTGTCTAATATACCATGTTTTTCCTCTCTCCAGGTTATGCGAATGACTCTGAGCCCCCTGAATTGGAGACGAAGAGAGATGGTCAGATGGCTCGTCACCTGTGCTACTGAAGTTGGTATGTTATCATATTTTCACAAATAGCTTGCTGGGCCTAATTGACGTTTCTATAGAAAGTAGAAATAAATAGTAAGAAGAGCTCCAGAAGTGATATCGTTCGTTATCACTAGTTGCTGAGACCAATGTGGTGAGAGACAGACATCCAGCTAGGCATTCGTTAGTCGTGGCTTGTTCAGGTCTCTGCTTTGAGGTTTGAGGCAGCATTTATCAGGGGTTTGTGGGGATCAGGCTGTGGACACTGATTTATTAACGCCAGGTGCACTAAAGTAGGACCAGCAAATCCAAGACACCCATAATAGAAAGTAAGAAAAATCCTCCGGCACTCATTCAAAAAAAGATGCAGCAACGTTTCGACCTACTAAGAGGTCTTTGTCAAGCTTGACAAAGACCTCTTAGTAGGTCAAAATGTTGCTGCATCTGTTTTTTGATCCTATAAATCTGCCTTTGGATTTAATTTCGTGAGTGTATGGAGATTTTTCTTACTCCTATTATACTGCTTTATCAAATGTCAGCCAATGTCTTCTAATCAGGAAAAATGTTTTATCTCTTTCTCAGTGCAGTTTTATCATGGGTTATGGAGATAATTCAAAACTTTCATTTTATATCTGAATCACCCAAAACATTTTTATTTATTTCAGTAATCATTCCTAACCCTTAGCAGTGATATTGGGGTTTAGAAGAATTGGCATGAATGTTTACTTTGTTTTAATGATGTCTTTTTATCTCTAGGTGTACGGGCCTTGGTTAGTATTCTACAAAGCTGGTATACACTTTTCACCCCTACGGAGGCCACCAGCATTGTGGCGGCAGCAGCCACGTCCCACAGCACTGTTCTAAGACTCAACCTGGACTATGCCCAGAGAGAGGAACTGGCCAGCTGTGCCCGGACATTGGCCTTGCAGTGTGCCATGAAGGACCCCCAAAACTGCGCTCTCTCTGCCTTGACCCTGTGTGAAAAAGACCACACTGCATTTGAAACTGCATATCAAATTGCAGTAGATGCAGCCTCAGGTGGCATGACTTATGCTCAGTTATTTACCATTGCCCGCTACATGGAACACCGTGGCTACCCTCTGCGGGCTTTCAAACTCTGCTCACTGGCCATGAACCACCTTAACCTGGCTTACAACCAGGACACACACCCAGCCATTAATGATGTACTGTGGGCCTGCTCGCTGAGCCACTCTTTGGGAAAAAATGAACTGGCAGCACTGGTACCACTAGTGGTAAAAAGTGTTCACTGTGCCACTGTACTATCAGATATCCTTCGACGATGTACTTTGACTGCACCAGGTCTAGCTGGCATCCCAGGTCGGCGGAATTCCGGCAAATTGATGTCAACAGATAAGCCGCCCCTTCGTCAGCTGCTTGATGCTGCCGTCGGTGCCTACATTAACACCACTCACTCGCGGCTAACGCACATTAGCCCTCGACACTACGGAGAATTCATTGAGTTTCTCAGTAAGGCCAGGGAGACCTTTCTGCTTGGACAGGATGGCCTACTTCAGTTTGCCCAGTTCATAGACAGTTTGAAACAGATCTATAAAGGCAAAAAGAAGCTGATGATGTTGGTGAGAGAACGCTTTGGGTGAGGCCACTCTCTCCAATTCTTTTCCACTTCTCCGTTTCCAAACCACATCTGTGAAGAGCTCCTGTCTGTGTACATGTGTACATAGGGCCTAATATTCAGGGCCTGAGCCAGGACTGTTAGGAAAATAAAACAATCCTCTTAAGTTGCATGAGACCCACCAAGCAGTTCATGCCTTCCCAGGGCATTGCTTCCTCAGAATGCATGGATTCAGCTCTAGTCCTTTCAGTGCTTGTGACAACTAGCAACTTCTGTCCATAATATGATTTAGAGTGTTCATACATGGCAAACTATTGCTAGAGCTGTGAGGGGAGATTTCTGGGTTTGATTTAAGGTTGGTTGTGAATAGTTCATGATCTGTGGATTTAATCTCCTTAAGTGTCTTAGTAGCAGGACACACTCTGCTTGGCAGGGATGAGCTATAGTTAATTTGTAGCTGGTGCATATAAACTGTATGTATTGCCAAGGCATGAATAGGCATAACTGATGGGGGGATAGAATGTCAGAGGCTTTGGATGTCTAAATAGCTGGCCAGCAATGGATGAAAGCAATGTATTAATTGGGCTCTTCCACTTGAATATAGTTCTATTATTACTCCAAAACATTTCAGTTCTGTGTGCTGCTTGTGTCTTGGGCTCCACAATGTTACATTTTCAAAGTTAAAGGGATTGTCTTGGTCAAAAAGGTCCCCATATTGTTCTGCATTATATAGATAATGCATTAAAAATAATGAAAAATAGTAAACCAAAAAATTATACATTCTGCTAAACACTTATCCCATAGACATGGGCTCAGCACAGGCCTACATGAAACCATTAGGTTTGTTATTTTCAAATTTACAGTGCAGTGCCCAGAGTGTCGCTTTAATAATAAAAACCCACCCAGTATAACTTTTTAACCTAACCTACACAGCGCACCTAATGTGTGTGGGAGCCTGGAGTGTCCCTTTAATAATATAATCTCACCCAGTATAACTGTAACCTAACCTACACAGTATATCTGTGTGTGGGAGCCTGGAGTGTCCCTTTATAATATAATCTCACCCAGTATAACCTAACCTACACAGTGCATCTAACGTATGTGGGAGCCTGGAGTGTCCCTTTAATAATATAAACCCACTCAGTATAACTAACTGTAACCTAACCTACACAGTGCACCTAATGTGTGTGGGAGCCTGGAGTGTCCTTTTATATAACCTAACCTACACAGTGCACCAACAATCTGACCAATATATACGGTTGAAAGCCTGAATTGCCAGCTGTGATGCCTTTTAAAAAAAATTTAGACTGTTTACCTTTAAGATATGATATTTTGAAATCTGAATCCATATATTGTTGGCAGTATTGAGTATTCGCTACAGAGGAAACACTAAAAATTGAGCCGATCACACTGTAAGTCAGTGTGTAGCTGGCTTGTTCGATTAATAATTTGTCCACTTTGCAGCATGTCTGGTAATGAAGGATAAATATTTTTTAAACTTAGCTGGTTCAAAGAGTCATAAACCAACATGCCAAATTCTGCTGGAAACATACTCTGCTGTGACGGCTATTCTTTGATTTTTCATGTTTTCCAACACAGATCTAAGAACCACTTACACAGTCTGTGCCTGATCCCTTACTTTGACCGCAGGATCACAAAACTCTTGAAATGTAACTTTGACCCAGTTTAATAACAATGGTAAAAATTGTGTTTATTTAATAGCCACTCTCTTAGGCGGTGAGGGAGAAAGAAGCAATGCATGATGGGGGTTCTCCTAAACACATGTCCATTGTCTCTTTGCAAATGGGGATTTTTCTCAAGTTCAACTGTGTGGTACAATATACTTTGAAAATATGCATAATCTCCTATATATCTGGGCCCGTGATGGTCCTTCCATATCTGAGAACTGAAAATGGACCAATTGGAATGGAGCTTAGCCTCAGCCCATTTAATGTGAGTGTGCTGCAGAGGTTCCCTGGGATAAACCAGACATTGAAGTTACTGGTAGCTATGGTTAATGGACTTTAATGAATGAAACATGACTGTGTACAATGATTGCTTTCTGTAGAAATACTTATATTTATCCTGAATTGTGCTATAATACAAACGCAAGACCACAAAATGCAAAAACACTACACGTTTCCATTTATCCTAGAATGGGAGTCTAGCTGTAAACACCTGGGGTGGCTTACCCTGTACTTATTTAAAGATGCATCGTTTAATATGTATTGTGCTTAATGTTCCCTGTTCACATCCACATTGCCTCCTAAATCCTGCCCCCTCCTGGTCACAATGGGAAGTGTCTCCTGAATCCTCATTGAAAAGACTGCAATCCAAACTCAGGGAACACTCTACACAAGTAAATAGTGACAAAGCATTTATTTACCTGTAAATATGATAATATATGTGGATTATGAAATGTAAAAATCTAATTATTTATAATAATTCTGTCTTTCTTTCCTGCAGGGCAATGGTATACTTGAAAGCTTTTGCTAGGATGTTGCTTTAAATGCTTTTGCTTTTCTCAGAGAGCTTTCTCAGGTGGAAGGAGGGAATTGGTTTGGGGATCGGGGGGTTTGCGGTGGGGGGGTAGGAGACCCTTCAGCATCAGGCCATTGAGGATCATGTCTGTCACACCAAAAGATAACAAGAAATCAGTGGAAACTCCCAATTAATCTAGAAAACTGACTGTTTTAGAACTGGAAATATTGTGAATCGTTCTCTCCCGCCTTGTAAGTGGGAGAAAACCATTAACTGCATCGTCCATATATCTCCACAAAATGAATTTGGGATAAGGAGAGATAAGGATGACAGTAGTGGAGACATTTTGTTTTCCACAACATTAAATCCCCCGTCTGCTGGGTTAGAACAAGTCACAGCAGGCGGAGGTTTAGCAATAAGCAAGGTGTAGCAGGGAGCTGAGGCCACTTAGTGCCCAAAATGAACAATGTCCTGTGAACGCTTTTCTTGCTCCTTTGCACTGTTATTCGTTCTTATTATTTATTTTATTTGTATCATTCTGTTTCTCTTTCCTCAAATTCCATAACCTGTTACTTTCTCGCCATGTGATTATGTGTGAGTTGCCCTCTCTGTTTGCTTTTAATTTGTCAGGTGCTTGCTTAGTTGGCGGTCTTCCTTCCTGCATCCTCCAAAGTTCTTGGGGTGCCGGGGGGAGGCTTTAGCTGGGATTTCTTGTGAGGTGTTTTGTTGGCTTTTTTTTCTCTTGTGTGTTTTATTATTTTTAGAATATTTCAGTCTTTGTAATTCTTTCTAATACATCCTAGAATGAAAACCACATGCTTTCCCTCAGTATTCCTTGCCACGGACTTATCATGGTTTTATTTTATTTGTATGCGCTTTTATTTTGTTATATTTGTGCAACCTCTTAACCTTTATCGAGTGTCATTGGGGCAAGCAAACCTAGTGTTTTTATTTTCCCCGTGGCAGCCCACCCCACTGACATTCAGAGGGTTAATGTTTGTTAATATTAATAAGAAAATGATCCTTATTTATGTATTACCATTTTATATGAATTGTGTTGAAAATTTCAGTGCTTTTTTATGAATAAACTGTTGATCACAGAAGCTATTCTTGTTCTCTGTAATTGTGAATGTCAGAAAACTTATCAATGTAATGAGACATGGTAGGTATAGCCAACCTGGGAATCTGAGAGCCAAGGGAAACTTGTTATAGCCAATCTGAGAGCCAAGGGGAAACTTGTTAGAGCCAATCTGAGCCAAGGGGAAACTTGTTAGAACCAATCTGAGCCAAGGGGAAACTTGTTAGAACCAATCTGAGCCAAGGGGAAACTTGTTAAAGCCAATTTGGGAATATGAGATGTGGGAAATCTTGCACTAGCAGCTGTAAGATAATTTCATTATACACATAGAAAATGCCTTTAGTTTTGTTTTTCTTGCAAGAAGCTAGACAAAACATAGCTAGATGTTCGAAGTCACACTTCCTTGAAATACATAAAACGCGGCTGTGGCGTCTACAGTTGCTAACTGGTAAAGCAGTGCCTAATTTTTATGCACTTTTTTTCTTGGCTTCTGGTGCTTTTAACCTCCTCCCGTTTCTCTTTGCTTTCAATCTGTGACATGACCGTCCATGTTTCAAAATAAACTGACTCCTTGGATCAGTCTACGCTTGAACAATTTGATTTGTCTTCTAAGACTATGAATATCTTCACAAAACAAAAACTATACCAACTGAACACAAATGAATCATATGTTAATGAGAGAGTCCTATAAAAAAGACACTGCCTGATATAAAGGGCGACTAACTGAATATCAAAATAAGAATTAGGCAGAATTGTGCAAGAAAGTGTCATGTCATAAATCCATATAGATAGTTATACATAAAAACTGAAACACTCAAAAAGCATCGGTATAAAAAGTTCAAGCAATTAAATTATATAATCACACAAAAGGGTCCAACTCAATAATATGGATCCTGTATAATGATGTAATAAGCCCGTATCTGTAGTCACTTAATGATACTGAGTGTTTGCCAGATGAGTAGGAGATATAGCAATGCCTCTAATGGACTCCGTAGCTGGAAACCCCTTCTTATTGATGGAAATCCAGAAATGCTCTAACACTCCACAAATAAATCCCAGACAGATCTATTCTTTCAGTCAGAGAGTAGCAGGAATTTGATTAGTGCACAATTCTAATTTCTACAACTTATTTTAGTTGACATGGGAAATGAGGCTACTCACTCAGCTGGTGTGATTATTTGATTTCCTTGTACAGGGTGGCAGGATTCAGCAATAACCGCATCAGCACTGCTGACTTAAGCCCGGTACCTCTTACAGTAGGTGTATGTCTTGGTTCAGTGGTCTCCCAAACGGCTGTTTTTTCACATTGCACACGTTAGCAGGATTAGGCTAGGGTGCCAAGACAACAGTTTAAGCTGCTTGGAGGGACTGGACCCACAGAGCTTACACCTAGACCACTTCAATAAGCTGAGCTGATTTATGGAGCTTGGATTGGCACTTCCATGGCACAGGAAAATGAACCTGTAGTTGGCACTATTTGTAAGCTTTATATAAATGAAGTTAGCAAATCACAAATGTAACCAGTCTAAATCAGAAGCTGTATGGGCTGCGGCAAGCCTGTGCAGAGTTGTTTCATTTCTGTAAAATGGTTGAAGCTACCTCAATGTATATTGTACAGGAGTTGCGAGTCAGTCTGCAAGAGCTGTGTGTAGAGCTATATTGTTTGTAGCAGAACACCACAAATATAGATTATCTTAAAACTAAAAATCGTAGCTGTATTGGTGTGAGTGCATTCCCATTTCAAACCTCGCCTGCTATTCATAAGGCAGACTGAATGATGGTTCCAGCTCTGCATCTATTTTTGCAGTCAGTTGTCTCCATGCAGCAGCAATATATTTAAATCCTACTTCACATACCTGTCTCTTGCTCTCCCTTAAAGGGCAGCACTCAATTCTCTCAGCCAGCTATGCTGTACTCCCACCTTGTTTGATTGCTACCTCCGGTTTTATGCCTCACCACCTATCGATGGTAAGCTAGTTTGAGCAGAGACCTCTTCAACCTATTCCTGTAATGGTCTCATTTGTTAAATCCCCCCCTTTGATAATGGAATATGCTGTAATAATAAATACCAGTAATAATATCCTTAGAATCTTCTGGGTATATAGCGGTTATAATGGTAAAAAAAAAATAATTTCAATACCCTTCTCTAACCAGTCCTAAAACAAGGACCTTATGGGTAATGTCACATTGTCAATTTAACATGGATTCATGAATTGCACACCCTATAAAACCAAACACAGAACCTTGGGTTTGATATACTGTTATTAATAAAGTGAAAATTGTTTGCGATTAGTTTTTCAGATGAAACAAAGCACATTTATATATTTGTCCCCCTGTCCGGGCTTTATTTTCAGGTTTTCACAGGTACAAGGGTTTTGGCAATCTCAAAAGAGATTAAGCATTTCAATGTGTTGTCTGGATAGGTATTACATTAGGTTATTTGCTACAAAAAAAGTGAAGACGTTCTATATGTGAACGTGTTAACCGCACTCCAGCTGTACAGATCGATGTGTTCCCACTGCCCTCCTCTTGGGGTTGTCCCAGTGTCTGCTTCAAGATTACTTCTTGCATTCTGAGTGCTTGTGAACAGCAGCTATAAAGGCCCCAACATGTTCAGGGTCCATATCTGGATACAAGCCATGGCCTAAGTTTGCAATATATCCTCGACAGCCAAAACTTTCTATCATTTTCTGTACAGTCTTCTCAATATCTTCCTGCAGCGCACAGAATAGAAGAAACACTGAATCATCAGGTAGATGCTGGATAATATGTAGAAAGAACTGATCAAGGCTAGACCTGTAGCTCCTAGCTTCTGAGTGCATACACTTAGCTAAAGTAGTTGCTGGTTACTATCCAACATAAGTCATTCAGCCTTGCAACTGAGTTTAAAGGACTACTCTATGGTCTCACATTAAATCTCCAGGTAGGTGTCTGGGTGCAGTCAATCTTACTACGGAGAACATTGCAGTATTGTAGAAGGTGCAATGTTTACATTTCAGGGCTAAACATCTCATGGGGTGGTCTCCCTGACAGTTACTAGTGGTGCTACCATTTAAACAGAGCATACACAGTCATGTGACATTCACACCTCAAACAGGTCAAAATAAAGCACTGAATATGAGAAGTATCTGATTGGATGACACTGGAAGAGTAGAGGGGAGATACAGGCTGGGGTAGGCAACCTTTGGCACAGCAGATTTTGAGGATAACATCTCTTACAACTTTAATACTGGCATAACATCAGGGAAGATGTAGTCCACAACATCTGGAGTGCTTAATATGCCCTACAGCTGCTCTAGGACATACTTCAACAACAGGAAGGTATACTGAATTCTACACCTGCTCTACTCATCTCCAGAGCTCTCAAGATAAACCACTAATAGGGGCTTGTGCAAGTCCCTCTGCACCATCAAGGAACACTAAGCACCAAAACCACTAATAAAGTGCAGAGCACAAAACTTCCATTTGCAAGTGAAAATTTAGCCCTGAGTACATTTTTAAGGCCAGGCTACTAGTCTAGGCGTTCGATTTAAACCCTGATGGAGTGGTTTTGGTGCATAGATGCTGATCCTCTTCTCTGCTACTGTAAATGTAGTTTATTGGGAAGGTAATCTTTACATTTGCCTGAGGACACACTACTGGTGGCTGTCAGACCGACAATCCCCAATTCCTTGTGTTCGGCCTATATCTGCCCGGATTAGGGAATGTCTCAGATATAATTTACAGTTAATATCTACTCCTTATACAGAAATAGTCAGTCTATGCACTACAACAGCTCCGTGTGGGGTTTATATTGTTAGTCTACTACTTCTGTATTAGGCGTACTAATGTTTTCCAACTGACAATGATGGTGGAGGAAAATTATAATGAAAAGTCTACATTTTCAAAAGAGGCCTGGCTTTTGTCAAACACTTCTAGTAAGGCCCAGCCCAGACTCTAAGCACTACCCTGAGCTGGAGTGGTTATAGTCTCTACTAAATACTATTAAATGAAAACAGACATTTACAGCCGTACCCAGGGAACACTGGATATGAAGAAGTATTGTATACAAACATAACATACCTTGCTAGCGTACAGGGCACAGGGATCCATGTTTCCCTGCAGAGTCACTCTATTTCCAGTCCTTTCCCTGGATGGGTCAAAGATAAGATCACAGTCTGAATAAGGCATTAGATTTGAGTCCTGAGCTGTTTTGGCCATGAGCATCTGGGACTTGATAAATAATGCACAGAATGGCGACTATCTGCCTTCCCATTCTTATAGAATGCTTGCATTCAATTACTTGTCCAGGTTATATTGTCAGATCCTCGCCTGTACCCAGCAATCCATGAAGCCAGTGGTGTTTATACACTTTGTTTTCCTGGCACTTTAGTTTCCCTTTAGGATGCTTGGGATATTCAGGGCAATAAGTGGACCCTGGCACATTTGTCAGTAATTAGACTGTAAACTCACCTGGCTTCCTGGGGTTGGATTGTCCAGTCCAATCCCACCACTTCATAACCAGACTGAGACAAGTTTTCTAGTGCATAGTGAGCATCCTTCGCAAACACGATCTGTAAATGGGATTTATAGCTAATATAACAGCAGGTTTGTCTGAGCAAGTTGCTCCTTCTAGTGGTCTGTTTAAATGCTGCAGTTCTAAAACAACATGGGCTCCAAAAAGGGAATAGATCTATATCTATTTTATTTCTTTTTTAAACATGAAATTCCATGCTCCACTTTTAATATTCTGACAATTTTGCATTTTCCTGATTACATTTGCTGCAGTAATGGACATGACTGTATGACATTGCGAAAGAAATGCCAAATGTAAAAGTTTGTCTCACTACAATCAATGCATCGATAAAACAGGTGCTCAACCTCACACCACGGCAGAGCACATTCATACTGAAATTAACCGATTAATAAAAATACAAGTGCAAATGTGTGTTCCACACGTTATTACAGCAGTAGACTAGTATCATAAAGCGCTACGTTGGGGCTATATAAATGTCAATATTAATATTAAAAAATGATCTCACTCACCATAGGAACTTGCTCCAGCCCTTCTGCTTTTAGCTTCTCCTTCACTCTCCGTGAGATCTCCTGGAGATACAGCAGAGAGAAGTCTGCAAACTGTTGAGGCCCAAGGATTCCGGCATGGGATTCAAAAACTTGAAGAGCCTAAAACAAAAATAAAATCGCCATGATTCTCTGTTTATGGGTGCGGAAGAATAATGGGTAATGGCACTACAACACCTAGGCCAGCTGCAAGGACAAACATGGTCAATGACTGCTCTAGAATGAAGCCATCAGCATGAATTAGGAGTCCCTTGTATCACTGTACCTGGGCACCAGCTGCCACCTGACCCACAAGATATTCTACAATGATGTCCGTGAGCTGGCGCAATAGCTGGTGGCTAGCAGAGGGTTGCTGGTAAAGCCAACGTTTGGCTTTGGACATGGTGTTCGAGCCACCTCCTTCTATCATATAGGTCATCAGGGTCCACTGTTGGAAGATTAAAGATACTTAATTAGGAGATGTTGGTGAATGCAAATAAATGTAATAAATAAATAGCGGCAAAGCTCACCGGGGCCCCTGTGAATCCAATAAGGGGCACCTTTCCAGCTATTTTGTGCCGTGTCAGGGTGATGGCACGAAACACATAGCCCAGCTCCTGCTTAACATCTACTTTGGACTTAAGCTTCTGGAGGTCCTCTGGAGTCTGCAGAGGTTCTTGGAAGACAGGGCCCCTTCCAGGTTCCATTCGGATTTCCATTCCTAGTGCCTGGAAGGAAAAGATCAGTCTGAACACGTTAAAAATAAAATGTAGGCAATAACTAAACCATGTGATCTCATTTTTTTTTTTTTAGAATGTAGAGGTGTCCATCAAGCAGAGTTATTCACTAAATTTCAAACTAACAATTCCAAAGATCAAAAGGGAGGCTGCATTAACCAAGCTATGAATACAGAGGAATTACTCACTTTTTCCATAGAGAGGCATTGTGAGACTAGTGTGCTATACACTGCACTGGGTCAATCAAATGCTTTCTAGGAAGACATTTCAGCTATAACACATTAACTTTGTTATAGCTGTGGAAGCACCTCTAGTGGCCATCTTTAATGTTTTTGTTGCAGGGGCATGGCACCCAGACCTGGTGAAGTGGGCTCGGTGGCTACAAAGTCCCTTTAATTTGTCCCTTCTCTATGTTACGTGTAGAATGAGATACCTTACAACTAGGTTTAGTGGGTAATTGACAAAATAGAGACTATACAATCACTTACCTGTGGTATCACTAGGATATCGGAAAAAATGATGGCAGCATCAAGAGGAAATCTCCGCAGCGGCTGCGTGCAATATAAGAAAGGATAAAACATCAGATTGCTCCCGTAAGAGGATCAGATCTCGCGTTAATTGCTTAACTTTTAGACATTTCCTGGAACGAGTTACCATTTATAGATCTTACTCCCAACACCTTCTTAAAATGTGTTATTTTGGATACATGTTTAAACCTTTAAATCACTGAAGGTGTGTGTGTGTGTGTGTGTGTGTGTGTGTGTTTTCATGGTTTTAGAGTGGGGATACAGGTGAAAAGGCTACTATGGCGAAGCCTACCATGTAAGAAATGGAGGGGGGAGCTAACAATACAATCTATACTGACATCTTTGGTTTGCGTTTTTTTTTTTTTTTTTTACACAAAATCCAAAAATATAAAAACCATATTCTAAGCACAAAAGCTACTTCAGTTAAATGGACACTGTAGGCACCCAGACCACTTCAGCTAATTGGAGTGGTCTGGGTGCAGTGTCCCTTTTGCACCTAGTGCTGCAATATTAAACACTGCAGCTCCAGAGAAACTGGAATGTTTACATTGCAGCTCTCAGTCTGCCCTCAGTAGCGGTCTTCCAGAAAGCAACTAGAGGGCTTCCTGCATTTTAGAAACTGACCTTTGGTCCGGTACCGGACGATGGACGTCCTCATGCTCTACATGGAGGACCTCCAGCGCCAGATTTTCCCCCCATAGGAAAGCACTGATTCAATGCTTTGTGTGGAGCAAACAGAGGAAAAAATAAAAAGGGTAGTCCTGTGCATCCAGTAAAGTTTTGCACACCGAGGTGCTACTGCAATTTGAGGACACCGTACAAACAGACGTTTCAGGCGCAAGCCCTTCGTCAATGCTAGTGTTAGCATCAAACATCTGTTTGTACTGACTCCATTTTTTTCCTCTGTTTGCTGTACTACACTGTTGGGACTATGGTGTGGAGCCTCTGCATCTCAGGTTTAATCTTTTGTATTTTATACTAAGACAGTGCACGCATGCCTCTACCTCATCCTATGCATACTTTCCTATAGGGAGGTCTAATGTGTACGCATCATTTGCTGCGCATTAGCGCCCACTTGTCACAGGACATTAGAGGGGGTAGAGCGACGAACCAGCACTGAGATCGGGTAAGTAAATGAAGGGATTTTAACCCTTTACCAGGGTGGGGGGAGCTTGTATTCCTGGCACTTACAGTATCCCTTTAACAAAGCAGTTTTGGTGTATAGATCACACCCTGCAGTCTTACTGCTGAGTTCTCTGAAATTTAGGCAGCGCAAGGTTTTACTTTAGAAGTTAGTTTCTCCTGCAGAGCATAGGAGGCTGCTGCGGTCTCTGGCAGGCAATTAACAGAGTAGGAGATTAAAAATAAATAAATCTAAAAACACTGTGCAATAAAGAAAAAAAAACAAAGGGGCGGAAAAAAGTGTAGGGAGGCTGTGGGAGTCTCAGGCAGGTAAGGTGTAGCTAGGGCTGCTTAAACAAAATGATTTAAAAGTAATACTATAGTGTTGGTAATACAAAGCTAGCTGTATTCCTAGCACCACAATGTTCCTCTGCTTCCACAGCCCTGTACCCCATGGAAATGAAAGCATTAAAAACCCTTTAAGCACTTGTTTCCAGAGTCAAGGTCTCTGCTTGCTCCAACTGAAGCGCGTGCATTAGGCCTTCCCCATAGAAAACCATTGAATCAATGCTTTCCTATGGGGATTTACAAAATGCTGGACATACTCATGCAAAGCGTGAGGACTTTCAGCATCGTTTCACGAGTTAAACTACGTCAACCTACAGGAAGCGCCTCTAGTGGTGGTCCTTACCCTGCAATGCTTTCACTTGCAGGGTTAAGGGGACAGAGAGAGCACCCAAACCAATAAGATAAAATGGTCAGGTGGCTGTAGTGTCTCTTTAACTCCTAAATGGTAGAGAATTGAGAAGTAAAGCTACAGGGGTATGATCTACACACCAAAACTACATAATTAAGCTAAGGTTGTTTTGGTACTTAGACTGTCCCTTTAAAGAAATCTTGACATATTACCTGCAGGGTTAGTTCACAGCAGATCTCGGGGCTTCGGCACGAAGCGAAGAAATCCTGACTAGCACGGGTCTCTCTGAACTCTATAACAAACCGTGAGCAAAGGTCAAAAGAGGACATCATTGCAGCATGCTTAATGTTTAAAGCAATTATTAGGAAACAGACACTTGTGGCTTGTATGAGAGGCTGTGTGTTTACAGCAAGATTATTCAATCAAGTGCCAATTGTTGTGAATTTTAAGTGTTAGGGCAAAAATAGCTGCAAAGGATACCAGCTCTTAAAATCTGTAGAACAATACTGCAAAACAGGCCTAAGAAGGTACTCCGCACAGTCCCCAGGAAGACATTAACTCGCCAGCCCTGCGGAGATTATAGATAACTTGGAGAATGTTTGCAGGTTGGGTATTTCGGCCTTAAAATTTAAATTCACTTAGAACTCCCATAAATTCACACTCTAGTAACAAAACGACAACAAAAAATTATCATTGTTATTCACTAAGGTAAGAAAATTAAAAGCAACTTTCAAATTTAAAACCAATTTAGTCAAACTGGAGAAATTCTCCAAGTCAGCAATGCCTCCACTTCAGCTAGTTTGGCCTTAACTTTAAAATTTGTTTTCCAGATAATTTTTACTTTAGTGGATAGTCCGGAAAATATTTCTGAAAGCGATCATGCAGTTTAGCAGTGAAATAAGATCTTTGAAGATACCAGGATGCAGCCGATAATAACTAACTTATCAGAAACCTGCCCTGTCACGTGGAAACATCTGCATTGTCATATTAACTCGTACCGTTTACACAGTGTTCAAAGGCTTCCAGCTCAATGCACTCACTCAGCAGCAAATGGGGGGATTTTTTGTAAAATGATTTGAAAAGCAAGTCTGCTTATGTGGTATTCCACATGTGCATTCACAGACATATCCTTTATATAGCGCCAACATATTCCATGGTGCTTTACAATTACAGAGAGAAGAGATTTAGAGGTGAAGAAGCCCTGTTTAAATGAACTTACAATCTGAGGATTCGAGGTAGGTAGATACAGAATAGCCGATCTACGCAGACAGCTCGAGGATGCAATAACTTATGGGAAGACAGAGATCCATCACAACCCAGAAATTACAAGTTCTTTCCAAACTCCGCTGAAAATCGGGTGTTATGTGGGCAGAGCTGTGGAGGGTCTCAGTCCAGCTAAACTGCTAGATCTACCATATTATAAAACATTTACACAGTAATTAATCACATCTCTAAGAAGTGTGACATAGCTGGGAATAAAAAGGAGCTCCTACTTGGGAAGCCCCCAGTAACCAAATAAAAAAAAAAAAAAAATCAGAGTCCAATGTCTATATGTATAAGTGGTTCACCTACCTGGCAGGTATCTCCCTGCCTGTCTCATACACCACACAGGCACATGTTGGCACTCTTCACCCCGAGCTGCACGCAGGAATATGTCATTCTGCAACGCCGGGAATCCCACCGGGCTGTGGAAAGAGAGGAGAATTAGGGTCACATAACTATACTCCATACACAGCAATAAAATGGGCAATGTAAGCAACACTCCATACAGCTCACTATGGCTCCCTTGTGCCCTTCCACGGTTCCGTATCAAACCCTTTATAAATTAAGGGTCTTCCAGGAACTGAGGGACCACCTGTATCTCAGCCACATTAAAAATATGGAATTAACACTTCTGCATTATTGTCAATTTCATCCAGCCTGGAGGCTAAGGTTTCGTTGAGAGGGTTTTAAAAAATTTGATAGTAAACAAAGTGAGGGCACAAGGGGACTCCAGGCTGTATAACCACTTCAGCGAGTAGCCGGAATAGAAATGTATACAGCACCAACATAAAAAAAATAATAATTTTTGTATTACACAACACAAATGGAACTATTCAGCCTTATCCAAGATACGCGGCTACTGGTTATGTGACTATTACAGTGCAAAAAACAATTACACTAAATATTAAAGTAAAATGTTCAGGAGGTTCCGAAATCGCCCTCCAGAGCGAACCTTGCACCAGGCCACAACCTCTTTTCACTGTACGTAATTCTGCAAACTACCAGCTGTCCTATCTTAACTCGGCAGACAGAGTATGATAGGCAGTGAGATAGGACACATTCACAAGCACATTACAGGATCGTGAAAAAAAGTTATCTGCCCCAGTGACATTAACAAACTGAAGGATGTGCGCGTGCCCATGGTGCCCTTAATGGGTTTTACTATGAAGGAAAAAAATTCTCTTGTAAAAAGAGTGTAATGTTCATCTCATTCAACCTTTCCCAAATTTAGCATAAAAATCTTTTATTATTTTTTTTTTTTAAAAACCCCCACACAAGTTTTTTTGTGCCTCTCAGTCCATATCTTAATTATCCATGAGCGTAACTAGTAAAAGAATGTAATTTGCATCCAGTCTGAGACCCAACCAGTCAGTACTGGTTACTTTTTACTCTTTTGTTGTCCCCTCAACACCATAATCACCTGTTCACCGTACTACACGTCATAATTTCCATCTTTGTTTTCTTAGTTTAGCATGTGTCCTTTATATTTATCATTTTTAAAATTTGTGATATATCATTAATAGGTGATTAAGGAAGAAGCAAAAAGGGAAAAAAAAAAAAAAAAAGAGAGGAACTTGCTGACTTAAGATTTTTATAGATGTACCAATGAAAATTGTGTACAAGTATTTTGTGTCATGCACAGCTCTTTTATTTAAATAAAAATACTATTTAAAAATAAAAGCAATTCTCTCTGACCATCTCCCTCTCAAGAATAAAGACAAGGATGAGCCTCATTATTTTTTTTTACTTATCCTTCATTTTTCAAATCATTAATTTCCTTTCAAAACTTTATGAAAGCATTGTACTAAAGAAGTTCTGATGGGAGTTGCCCTTTGGATGAGATTAGCATTAACAGCAGAGAGTAAGTGTTTTTTGTAATCAAAATCAGATTGTTTCATAACAGAGAAATCCAGAATTTAACACATTTATGTCTTGTTGCAGCCTGTCCATGTTTGCAGTTTGATAGAAGATTAATAAATCTGTTAACTTTATCCTAACTGTCACTAAATGCTTTCTAAAGGTTAATAAAAAAATAAAGGGGGCTATGACATATAATAAAGGGTTACATAACAAAACATAATATATAATAAAGGGGAATATAACATAATATATAATAAAGGGGGCTATAACAATATATAATAACATAATATATAATAAAGGGGGCTATAACAATATATAATAGAGGGGGCTATAACACAATATATAATAACATAGCATAATATATAATAAAGGGGGCTATAACACAATAGAGAATAAAGGGGGCTATAACAATATATAACAACACACTATATAATAACAACACTATATAATAACACACTATAGAATAAAGGGGGCTATAACAATATATAATAACAATATATAATAGAGGGGGCTATAACACAATATATAATAGAGGGGGCTATAACACTATATAATAACAACACACTATATAATAACACACTATATAATAACACACTATATAATAATAACACACTATATAATAATAACACACTATATAATAATAATAATAATAATAATAATAATAACACACTATATAATAATAACACACTATATAATAATAATAACAACACACTATATATAATAACACACTATATAATAAAGGGGGCTATAACACAATATATAATAACACACAGTATATAATAACACACTATATAACACACTATATAATAATAACACTATATAATAATAGAGGGGGGGCCATAACACGTGACCCTCTCCCCAGGGCTGGATGCCACCCCATGCCAGGCTCAGCCAGGAGCTCGCAGAGCATGCTGGGAAGGCTGACTCCAGGCGGGAGTGAGAGGGCCGCCATACTCACAGCAGGTGCTCTGGCTGCTCCATGGAAACCTCTCCAGGAAGTGTCAGCTCTGCGGTCAGCCAGCTCGCAAGCTACAAGCCCGGCCACGCCCCCCGCGTGACGCAGCGACATGGAGCATTCTTATTGGATATCACTTTGTCAAGGGCGTTACAGGAGCCCCAGGATACAGTGGGCGTTGCTAAGTAACGGTAAGGCGGGGTCAGCAGAACCCGGAAGCTGCCGCTCTCTCCCAGGTTACCGTATTCCATGTAGTGCAGGCGGTGAGGTTGTTCAGGCTGGGAGCCTCACACAGGGAATAGTATATAATAAATATAATAAAATATAATATTATAATATAATAAAATATAATAAAATATAATATTATAATATAATAAAATATAATATTATAATATAATAAAATATAATATTATAATATAATAAAATATAATATTATAATATAATATAATACAGGGAATAGTATATAATAAAATAAAATAAAATATAATATAATACAGGGAATAGTATATAATAAATATAAATATAATAAAATATAATATAATAAAATATAATAGAGGGAATAGTATATAATAAATATAAATATAATAAAATATAATATAATAAAATATAATATTATAATATAATACAGGGAATAGTATATAATAAATATAAATATAATAAAATATAATAAAATATAATATTATAATATAATAAAATATAATAAAATATAATATTATAATATAATACAGGGAATAGTATATAATAAATATAAATATAATAAAATATAATATAATATAATATAATACAGGGGATAGTATATAATAAATATAAATATAATAACATATAATAAAATATAATATTATAATATCATACAGGGAATAGTATATAATAAATATAAATATAATAAAATATAATATAATATAATATTATAATATAATACAGGGAATAATATATAATAAATATAATAAAATATAATATAATAAAATATAATATAATATAATACAGGGAATAGTATATAATAAATATAATAAAATATAATATAATATAATACAGGGAATAGTATATAATAAATATAATATAAAATATAATACAGGGAATAGTATATAATAAATATAAATATAATAAAATATAATATAATACAGGGAATAGTATATAATAAAATATAATAAAATAAAATATAATATAATATAATACAATACAGGGAATAGTATATAATAAATATAATATAAAAAAATATAATACAGGGAATAGTATATAATAAATATAATATAATAAAATAAAATATTATAATATAATACAGGGAATAATATATAATAAATATAATATAATAAGATAAAATATAATAAATATAATATAATAAAATATAATATAATATATATACAGGGAATAGAATAGAATAAATATAATATAATAAAATATAATATAATATAATACAGGGAATAGTATATAATAAATATAATATAATAAAATATAATATAATATATATACAGGGAATAGTATATAATAAATAAAATATAATAAAATATAATATAATACAGGGAATAATATATAATAAATATAATAAAATAAAATATAATATAATATAATATAATATAATACAGGGAATAGTATATAATAAAATAAAATATAATATAATACAGGGAATAGTATATAATAAATATAAATATAACAAAATATAATATAATATAATATATAATAGAGGGAATAGTATATAATAAATATAAATATAATAAAATATAATATAATAAAATATAATATTATAATATAATACAGGAATAGTATATAATAAATATAAATATAATAAAATATAAAATATAATATTATAATATAATAAAATATAATAAAATATAATATTATAATATAATACAGGGAATAGTATATAATAAATATAAATATAATAAAATATAATATAATATAACATACAGGGGATAGTATATAATAAATATAATAACATATAATAAAATATAATATTATAATATCATACAGGGAATAGTATATAATAAATATAAATATAATAAAATATAATATAATATTATAATATAATACAGGGAATAATATATAATAAATATAATAAAATATAATATAATAAAATATAATATAATATAATACAGGGAATAGTATATAATAAATATAATAAAATATAATATAATACAGGGAATAGTATATAATAAATATAATATAAAATATAATACAGGGAATAGTATATAATAAATATAAATATAATAAAATATAATAATATAATACAGGGAATAGTATATAATAAAATATAATAAAATAAAATATAATATAATATAATACAATACAGGGAATAGTATATAATAAATATAATATAAAAAAATAAAATATTATAATATAATACAGGGAATAATATATAATAAATATAATATAATAAGATAAAATATAATAAAATATAATATAATATATATACAGGGAATAGAATATAATAAATATAATATAATAAAATATAATATAATATAATACAGGGAATAGTATATAATATAATAAAATATAATATAATATAATACAGGGAATAGTATATAATAAATATAATATAATAAAATATAATATAATATATATACAGGGAATAGTATATAATAAATAAAATATAATAAAATATAATATAATATAATACAGGGAATAGTATATAATAAATATAATAAAATATAATATAATATATGTATATATATATACAGGGAATAGTATATAATATAATAAAATATAATACAGGGAATAGTATATAATAAATATAATATAATATAATATACAGGGAATAGAATATAATCTAATAAAATATAATATAATAAATATAATATAATATAGGGAATATAATATACTATAATAAAATAATATATAATACAGGGAATATAATATAATAAATATAATAAAATATAATACAGGGAATAGTATATAATAAATATAATAAAATATAATATAATACAGGGAATAGAATTTAATAAATATAATACAATTAAATATAATATAATACAGGGAATAGAATATAATAAATAAATATAATATAATACAGGGAGTAGAATATAATAAATATAATATAATATAGGGAGTAGAATATAATAAATATAATAAAATATATAATACAGGGAATAGAATATAATAAAATAAAATATAATACAGGCAATAGAATATAATACAGAGAATAGAATATAATAAATATAATAATATATAATATAATACAGGGAATATAATAAAATATTATATAATACAGGGAATATAATAAAATAAAATATATAATACAGGGAATAGTATATAATAAATATAATAAAATAATATATAATACAGGGAATATAATATAATAAGTATAATTTCCTGGCTAATCATGGCAGCATATACACATGGGTTAGCTCCTCCCCTACAGCCGATAGGACAGGAAAACCACCAAGGTTTTAAAAGGAGGCTCCATCCCTAAGGTCCTCAGTCTTTTTCCTGTCCTACAGCCCTTAGGACGTGAGCAATTTGCTCCCTTTACTTATGGACATGTATGTTTTATCTTCATTACTTTATTTTCTGTTTTACTGTAGTACATTATGCAGTTATGCTTTTATGCTGTGATGCATTTAAGCTTTGATATCTTTAACCCCTTAAGGACCAAACTTGTGGAATAAAAAGGGAACCATGACATGTCACAGGTGTCCTTAAGAGGTTAAACTAGTGCATTATACATCTGTACCTTATTTTTAAGATTGTGGTACATAACGCGGTTGTGCTTTTACTAGGAAGCATTTAAGCTGTTGCATTTAAAACTGTTTTCATTTAAAGTTGCATGTAATACCGCAAGTCATTGACGACTGCAGTGCTTTTGAAGACTGCAGTTTGTTTGAAAACTGTGATACATTTTGGAAACTGTGATACATTTTGGAAACTGTGATACATTTTGGAAACTGTGATACATTTTGGAAACTGTGATACATTTTGGAAACTGTGATACATTTTGGAAACTGTGTTACCTTTTATACCTTGCGGCCTTTAGACTGTGGTGCCTTTAAAATTGATTTTTTGCTCCTGGTTTCCTTTTAAACTTCCTTGCAGGCACTTTTTTAATCTATGTTGCTTCCCCTCGGTCCCAGTGATTTATTCCTGGTTCCCTGGGTGTTTAGGGGCCATGTAGGCTTCAGACAGAGTCCTCTCCCTGGTCTCTAACAGCAAACACACTCAGAATAGGCCCACATGTGCAGTTTGTGCCTTATTGGGCCTAATACAGAGGACTTGCATTGTGGGAATACAAGTTGTGGCAGCCATCTTGGATAAGGGCAATTGCCAGAAAGTGCCTAAAATAAAGGGAAAATTACAGTAAACATACACTTATTGGGTAAGTATTTGCAGGGTCTCCAGACATGGATAAGTGCTGTCTTCAGCCTGTTTTAAAGCTGTTTCGCTGGTTTCTTATAGAATTTAACAGTGCACATTTTTTCTTAATACTTTACCACAGGTAATATTTAGTTGTTATTATTTGTCAGGTGTCTGATTCTTCACCAGGATCTGGATATGAGGAGAATACAGTGGAAGGAATCGGTTATGCACTGACTGCCTCCAGAAGGTTGTCGCTTCAGCATGACCTATCACTGTGCAGCCACATGACATGCGGGCAGGGCTTACAAAGTAAGTTCCAGAGGCCTTAGGGGTAAGAAAGGAGGCCAGGCTTTACCCTGTGGAGGAAGTTATTTCCAACCCCAGAACTACACCACCTAAGTTGCACACGTATGGATCATAGGTGGACGCAGACCTGTCCAAAATTTTACGCCTACCATTGCAGGAGGCCAGCCAGCTGTGATTTCTGCTGCTGTTTCTACAAACATGAGTTATGTGATTAAAGATCTAAAGGCTACTATGAAGAGAGATATTAAAGGCCAAGATTGAAGAGGCAGTCTGAAGTCTTCTGGTTACAACTGACTTCTTCACAGAAACTTCCCTAGATGTAACTAGGATAGTCTGTGGATCAAATGGCTTTATCTATAGAAGCTAAGAAAGCATTATGGTTCCGTTTCTGGGATGATGACTCATCCTCAAAGTCTGCCCTCTACACCATTCTATTTGAAGGGGTGGTGCTGTTTGGGGAAAACTTTGGATAATTCCATTGAAAAGGCGAATGAGCGCTGCAAAATATTGGTACCTTAGGATGGAAGTTCCAAGGATCCCAGCTCCTCATAGTCTGACCGGAGAACCTCCAGTGACCAGTATTTCTGAGATACATGAAGCTACTGGCCCTGCGGGGAATACTCCAGAGGTAACTCATGGCAGTTGGTAAACCTGCCTTTCAAGGTTCTAATGTAGCTATAACGCAGTTGTTTTGCTCTTCAGCAATGAACATATCTCTTCCATTACTAGGAGCCTCATTTTTCTGATTACACATACCTGGGCTTGTCATACTCTGGAGGCTTGAGTGTTATCCATGGCCCAGATTGATATAGACTGGAGTTTTTTCTTAACGGGCACGGGCCTCCATACCAACAGGAGCATTAAGACCAATGAATCAAAAGGTAAAGCACTGAAGGAAGAAGCCTTCTTGACAAAGAGGTGATTTTTTTTTAGGTCCCAGAACAAGAGCAGTTCCAGGGACAAGTTTCAACCTCTCTTTTGGTGCCAAGAGGAAAAGCACATGAAAGCCTACACTGGATCTAAGAGGGGCCAACAAGAGGCTGAATGTTAGTCTTCAGGATGGAGTCAATCAGATCCATATCTCAAGCAATCTGGAAGGATAATTGCCTTACCTCTATATATCTCAAGGATGCTTACTTTCAGTCCAATCTGCAGAGATCTTCGGCATTAGCTCAGAAGAGAACTTCCATGTTAGTGCCCTACCATTTGGCCTCAATGCGGCCCCAAGAATCTTTCTATGTGCTTATAGTGTTATTGAGAGTCCAGAACTCCACCTGGTTCCATTATCTGGAGGATCTACTTGTGATAGCCTTAGACCCTCAGAAGGCAGGCACACATAGGTATATAGTTCTTTCATAACTCCTAAAGTTTGGCTGCTTGATGAATATCAAGAAAAGCAGTTTCAGACCAGCTCAGTGATTGACATTCCTGAGTTGAAAATTCTAGGCTCTGCTTTTCCCTATCTCGGGAACAGTTCCACAGATTTTAAAGGTTTTCTCTCACAGTTTCTTCATTTCTGCTTGGTAACAGCAAGAAAATAGATGCAACTACTAGGAATCCGGGCTTCCACCAGCAGACTTGTCAGAGGGGCCCAATGGCATCTCTGGATTCCTTACAGATCCTTCCTATCTTGGTCTAACAAGAGAGAGATTATTGGAGCCAGCCACTTACTATGTCCTCATCAGTGGAGTTGCACCTTACCCTGGCTGCTGAAAGAGGGATTGGATCTCTGAGTTTCCAGTGAACAGAACCTCATTGGTCAATTATTAGCTCGAATTCCAGTTTTTATAAGATTGGTTGCACAGTGTTTGGACCATGTTGCACAATATTTCCATTCATTTGTATGGAATTAAGAGTCATTTTCTAGGCTCTTCTTCACTTCAGAGGCTTGCTGAAGAACGAGTGGGTCCAAATTTGCTCAAATTTCAATGCAACTGTATCCTATATCTACCAAGATGGGTATCACAGATACGTATTGATGGAATTCCAGCCCATAATGATCAGGGCACAGAAGAACAACCAGTGGCTCAGAATACCATGGCTGTTTGCTGGAGCCGAATAACTGTGCCAAGGTGGATTGGCAACCATGTCCTTACGGATCCTCGTGGTTGACGCAGATTGTTTGATGGCCATTTCTTGAAACTACCAGGTCCAGAAGTATTTTTTACATGCTAGGACCAGAATGCTCAGGTTCAGGATACACTGGCTCAAATTTAGAATTTTAGTATTATGTACATATTTTCCTGTTTTCAACTTTCTTAAAAAGGCAATGCAAGAGGTGACAGTGGAAGACCGTGTCGACTCTAATTCCTATGATGAATAAGATGATTCTGGAACCTCCAAGGGAAATTCCTGTACGTCCAGACCTATTACAAGGCCCCATGACACACCAGGATCCTCAAGTTCTGGTGTTGATGCGGGAGTCCATATTAGTATAGGCATCCCTGAGATGGTCATTGAGATCCTCTTACAATCCTATACAGGCTTTACTAAGCTTGACATGCTTTTGTCTGTTGGAATTACTCCTCGTTCAGGCCTTGAAAGGTTCTGTGTTATAACACTCTAGAGGAACACTTAGCTGCACTTTGCTTCATATAGGCATTGATTGAAATCATGCCTCCACTGAGTGTGGTGAAGCCAATATGTGACATACCAATGGTCACACGAGCCCTGACTGAACCATTATTCGAACCTCTAGAAGGAGCTTCCATGGTGGTAGCACAGAAAGTGCTGGTTGCTGGTACTCCAGCAAGAATAATGGGTGAACTCCAGGCTTGGTCCTGTGAACCCCCTTTCACTACTTTTCAACAGATATGATCGTCTTGCATTTGGCACCTGAAGATCCTGCCTTTGGTGAATGCTTATCTATGTCATTCTCTACCTGTACTGAAGGGTACCGATTGAGCGTTGATGCCCCTGGTGTTTTGCTTCATGTAAGCAACAACTGAACTCAAGCCTCCGCTGAGGGTGTTGAAACCAATATGTGATGTACCACTGGTCTCACAGACTCTGACTGTACTTCTAGCAAGAGCTTCCATGATGTTAGCCCAGACGTTGCTGTTGCTGTTGCTAGTGACTGGTACCTCAGCAGGGTGAATGTGTGCACTTGCTGCACTTTGCTTCATATAGGCATTGATTGAAATCATGCCTCCACTGAGTGTGGTGAAGCCAATATATGATGTACCACTGGTCTCACGGGCCCTGACTGAACCATTATTCGAACCTCTAGAAGGAGCTTCCATGGTGGTAGCACAGACAGTGCTGGTGGCTGGCACCCCAGCAAGGGAAATGGGTGAACTCCAGGCTTGATCCTGTGTACCCCCATTCACTGAATTTTAACAGGAGATGGTTGTCATGCACGTAGCACCAGTGATCGTGCCCAAAGTGAGAGCCTTTCAATGCCGTTCTCTACCTGTAGCGAAGGATTTGGGGCATTCTCCACTAGTGCTGTTACAGCATCTCGTGGGCTTCCATGGCAATGGTCTCTGCTGAAACTTTGTAAAGTTGGCATTTTGACCTCTTTGAACTAGTTTGTCCTGCATTACATATTGGACATTGAAGCAATTAACGAGGCACAATTTGGACGTCACGTCCGTTCTCTACCTGTGCTGGAGGGTATCAGGGCACTCTCCTCTCATGCTGTTGCAGCATCATGGGTTGCCATGGCAATGGCTTCTGCTGACACTTTTTGTAAGCTAGCATTTGAACCTCCTTTAGACACGTTTGTCTGGCATTTCATACTGTTCGTTAAAACAGTCTATGATGCACAATTTGGTACTCAAGTACTTAACTCAGTTCATTCTTCTATCTATGTTGAATTATTCTGATAATTTGATTGGCTATTCTGTCCCTCCCTTTGTAAGCTTGGGTATTCCCCATGTGTATATGCTGCCATGATTAGCCAGGAAAGTGGAAAATTTATTCATACTTACCGTAATTTTCTTTTCCTGGCTATTATTCATGGCAGCATATACTTCCCTCCCATTAATGTCTCTATTTATGTACTGTAGAGCTTGTAAACTGACTGAGGACCTTAGGGATGGAGCCTCCTTTTAAAACCTTGGTGGTTTTCCTGTCCTATCGGCTGTAGGGGAGGAGCTAACCCATGTGTATATGCTGCCATGAATAATAGCCAGGAAAAGAAAATTACGGTAAGTATGAATAAATTTTCCACTATAATACATAGAATATAATACAGGGAATATAATATAATAAATATAATAAAATAATACATAGAATATGATACGGGGAATAGAATAGAATAAATAAATAAATATAATAAAATAATATATAATACATAGAATATAATATAATAAAATAAAATATTATATAATACAGGGAATATAATATAATAAATATAATAAAATAATATATAATAGAATATAATACAGGGAATAGAATAAAATATAATACAGGGAATATAATATAATAAATATAATAAAATATTATATAATACATAGAATATAATACAGGGAATAAAATAAATAAAATATAATACATTAAATATAATACAATAATACATATAATATATTACAGGGAATAAAATAAATATAATACATTTAATATAATACAGGGAATAAAATATAATAACATTAATATAATAATATAATACAGGGCAGAAACATGGAATAGAATAAAATAATAAATATAAATTATAATGTAAGAGGTTCAGCTCCTCCATGTTTTTCTGGTTACATATATTCATGCTGCTGGACAGTGCAGGAAAAGTGCTACCGCACTGTATCTGCAATTCACATGCAGCCTGAGGGAATTCGACTAAAGGGACACTACAGACACCAGAACTTATTGAATTTGTTCTGATGAGTATAATCAGTTCCTTCAGGCTTTTTGCAGTAAACACTGTATTTTCAGAGAAAATGCAGTGTTTACATTACAGCTGATTGATACCTCCACTTGCCATTCCTCAGATGGCTACTAGAGCTGCTTCCTGGGGCAGTGCTGCACAGTGTGACTGACATTCAGTGTCTCCTCCCTCTGCATGCAGACAATGAACTTTCCTCGTAGAGATTCATTGATTCAATTCATCTCTATGAGGAGAGTCTGATTGGCCAGGGCTGTGTTTGAATCATGCTGGCTCTGCCCCTGATCTGCCTCCTTCACAGTCTCAGCCGATTCTATGGGAAAGCATTGTGATTGGCTGAGAGAATTACTTCTGACGAAGTCAGCCAAGCAAGCAATCAGGACAAAAGTAAGATTTTACTATATTTAGGGATTCAAGACGGGGCAGGGACATTAGATGGTGGTTTTAACACTATATGGTCAGGAATATATGTTTGTGTTCCTGACCCTATAGTGATCATTTAATGAAGCGGTTTTGTGTATAACTCCTAAACGGCAGTGAATTGAGCAGCGAGTCTGCAGGGGCATGATTTATACACCAAAACTGCTTCATTAAGATAAAGTTGTTTGGGTGACTATGGTGTCCCTTTAAAGAAGGACAGTAATTGGGCTTATTCCTAGGGGGGGAGAAAAGTACAACTCTAGATGTTACTGGGAGCAGCTCTGTCACTGTCTGGGGTTTCTGTGTAATTTGCTAAAATCCAGGATGGTGACATCGTTGCTGGGTGTTCGGGACAGGT